AGTTTTAAATCTTTTAACCTTGATGTCTTTTTGTCTTTTTCAAATTTGTGTTTTTTTCTTCCTGTTCTTTACTGTCATGTGTTTGTAAGATCTTTTTCTTGTGCCTGGTTTCTTTCTGTTTGTCTGTGGGATTTGTATGTCTGTGGTGTCTTTTTTTCTGTTGTATCTTTCTATTAATCTTCCTTCTATTTGTCTCTTTTTTTTCTGTTTGTCTGTGGGGTTTTTCTTCATCTGTCTGTGGTTGCCTTCTGTTTGTCTATGGGTTCTTTCTATTTATCTTTGTTTCTTTTCTTTTTCTCTGTGGTTCTTTCTGTTTGATTGTGGGTTCTTTCTGTTTATCTGTGATATCTTTCTATTTGTCTGTGATAGCCTTCTGTTTGTATGTGGTTACTTTCTGTTGTCAGTGGGTTCTTTCTGATTGTCTGTGGGTTTTTTCTTTATGTCTGTGGTTTCTTTCTGTATGTCTGTGGTATCTTTTTTTTCTGTGGTATTTTTTATTTGTCTGTGGTTTCTTTCTGTTTGTCTGTTTTATCACGAGATTTTCTTCTCTTTCATTTATCAATCAATCTTACCTTTCCATTTGTCGGAAACACAGTTTACAATGGAGAATGTTTGCCTCATTTTTGCGTGATTTTTAAAATTAAACAGTTCCTTTTGCAGCCTTCCACTTAATGTTTTATTGCGCGTAATCAAGAAATTCATTGCGTCAGCTAGTATGGATACAAGTAGGGGCGTATCCTCTGTGCGTAAAAAATTGTTAGCTGGATAAAAAATTAAAATAATTTCTTTCTGCAAAAAAAAACGAATTGAATAGGTTTGAAAATGAAATTTTTTTATTTTGAATATTTTTTATTGGTTTCCTGTAACCCTGCCCTAGAAAAAGCTTGAGGATCGAATCTGCAAAACACGAAGTATTTAAACTATTGTCAAACATACAATAATAAAATCTACTTTAACTTCGGGGATTGACTTCTTAGAGTTGGTTTTTGTAAACCGACCTTTTCAGTCAGGATTATACAGGGTATCCATAAAGGATGAGACTAGAAGGACGACCTTCAAGTCTTATATTAGTACGAGCGGAAGGTTGAACTCTTGGTCTTTTGATTAGAATAACGTCATAAAATAATTCACTGAATAATTAAGCAAAGAAAGAAACAAGATTAAAGTTGGAGGGAACCAAGAATTTAAGAATTATACAGAAGTATCATTCTTTGTGGAAACCCCTGTATTGTTATTATTATGCACACAATGAAGGAAGATTGTTAGACTCATGTTCTTTCGTTTGAAGGTGTAACTTTATTTGCTGTTTTTTATTCTATTTGGCTCTCTTCTGTGGGGCTTAAATTTTTTGTAGGGTCTGCTTATTGTGAGATCATGTGTTTTACTGTACTACTCTTTTATTGTAGGATTAAATTGGGTTTATTGTAGGGTTAATTTAATACAAATTTCAACTGTTATTTTATTGTATGAAGTGTTCTCTAATTAAAGGCTTAAATTGTGTTTATTGTAGGCTAATTTTATTTCAGGCTTTAAATGTTTTTAATTGTATGTAGTGTTCTCATATAAAAGGGTTGAATAGTTTTTATTTTCAGAAGTATAAGTAATATTCACGCTTATGCTCAACAGTTTTTTAAAACAAATTCTAGTGCCTTTAACGAAACAAAAACGCCATCGTAACCCGACTTTACAAAATACTACCTTTAACTCCCCCCTCCCCTCTCATCAAATGATTTAATTCTAAACAGAGGAAGAATAAAATTCAGGTCTATGTGTGGCATGTATTGGGTGGTAGATAAATCTAGATATATTTTTATATCTATCTTTACTTATAAGTTTAATCTGATATTTATCTATAAATATAAATTGCATTCCTTTTATGTTAGACGGTTGTAGGCGTAGGCCATCAACATGGTTAGGTAGATACAAGTATATATGTATTATATATATGTAGATACAGATTTTAAAATACACAAAAGGATATAAATAAAATTAAAACTTGGTGATTTGAAAAGTTATAATTTGAGATAATTAACAGATTTCTATTTTTTTTACCAAGTTTTCTTGCGTTTGTTGGGATGCCCTTATCTATTTACTGGGTCACACTATCATTAGACTATATTTAAGGAAACCCATATTTCCAGGGTCACATTATCATTAGACTATATGTAAGGAAAACCATATTTTTTGGGTCACCATATGATATGGTTACATACCAGGAAAATCATATTTTCCTGACACCCTGTTAGTAGATTTTTGCCAGGAAATTCATAGTTTCTTAAAATTTTTTACCAGGAAAATAATATTTTCTAAGTCTGTAGATTATATACCAGAAAATAATATATTTCCTGTGACCCCCTATCTTTAGATTATATACCAGGAAAAATATATATTTCTTGAGACCCTCTGTCCGTAGATTGTATGCCAGGAAAGTAATGTATGTCCTGATACCCCCTATCTGTAGATTATGAGCTTGGAAAATCATATTTCCTGAGACCCCCTGTCTGTAGATTATATACCAGGAAAACGATATATTTCCTGAGACCCCCTGTCTATATTATATACTAGGAAAGTAATATATGTCCTGAGACCCCCTGTCTGTATATTATATACCAGGAAAGTAATATATGTCCTGAGACTCCCTGTCTGTATATTATATACCAGGAAAGTAATATATGTCCTGAGACCCTCTGTCTAGATTATATGCCAGGAAAATCATATTTCCTGAGACTCCCTGTCTGTAGATTATATGCCAGGAAACCTGTGTAGAAAAACTCTAGGACAATGGCGAAACAAATTGATAAATAATCCGTAAAACATGAAGATCTGGCAAAAACAGGACCTGGACCGTTGATTAATAAAATGCTGGCAATGCGCGCCGATAAAAAACCGTCGAGAACGTGAAAAAGTCTGCGCACATGGTTTCTTTCTTGAGATTTATGAAGGGATGGAGATCCAGATTTATGTTCCACGATGATATCTATCCAGATTTAGCTCTTACATCAGGGAAGGAATCTATTCTGATTTAACTCTAAATTAAGAAATCAGAGAAGGACTCTATCCGGATTTAACTCTAGATTAAGAAAGCAGAGAAGAAATCTATTCTAATTTAACTCTAAATTAAGAAAGCAGAGAAGAAATCTATTCTGATTTAACACTAAATTAAGAAATCAGAGAAGGACTCTATCCCGATTTAACTCTATCCCGATTTAACTCTATCCCGATTTAAATCTAAATTAAGAAATCAGTGAGTAAATCTATTCTAATTTAACTCTAAATTAAGAAATCCGAGAGTAAATCTATTTTATTTAACTTTAAATTAAGAAATCAGAGAAGGAATCTATCCCGATTTAACTCTAAATTAAGAAAGCAGAGAAGAAATCTATTCTAATTTAATTCTAAATTAAGAAATCAGAGATTAAATCTATTCTGATTTAACTCTAAATTAAGAAATCAGAGATTAAATCTATCCTGATTTAGATTTTGATGAAGAATCAGGAAAGATATCCCAAGTAGGCTCCTTGGTTGGATAATTAGAGAATGAATCTAAATAAGCTTTTTATTAAAAAAATCAAAGAAAGAAAAAATAAGTTTTTGATTTTTAAAAAAGGAGGATTTAGGAGTCAATAATTATAATCAGAAAAGAACAAAGGAATCTATCCTATTATAGTAAATAATTAGTGTAAATCAACGAAGTCAATGCATAGTTAAACAAAGAGTGTATCCTGCATGTCAAAGTTAATCTTTTTTTAATGTAAGTTAAGAAGCATATGTTGTTAAATCAAAACACAAAAAATTACGACACTAAGAAAACAAATTGGAATGCATGTTATATACGCAACAAAGAAACATTCTAAATCATAAAAATATTGACATGTGATGTCTATAAACCCACTAATTGCATGGTGCTGTGACAAAAATATTAACCCTGGGTTCAAGCGTTTTGTTTGCAGAAAGTGTACACTGTTCACTGTTCAGTGCATAATTTCTTCGGTGGNGTACGGAAATTACTTACTATTGTTTCTTATATTGATAATTTCCTGGTTGTGTATATTCGTATCGTTCATGTTCTATCAAAGTTTTAATGGTTAGGACATAGAAGAGTATTTATGATTAAGAATAAATAAGAGTTAATAAGGGCTGAGTTTGACAAAGAAAGATAGTTTAAAGGCATAGAGAGGAGTTTAGCGATATCTTGATGATAACCGAATCCTTCACAAGCATTACCTTCACGTTTATGGCATTTTCAAGCAATCCAATCATATTTTTAATGTATTGAGAATGAAAAGTGTGTGTTCCGGTTCCAGCGTTTGCCTCAAGCCGTTTTCAAGCCTTACTCAGGCACACTTGGATACTGCTTTAGGCACTGTCACATATATGGACTTGTCATTGGTAGACAGGCAGACAGATAGGCATTCACACATCAATATAGAAGTCGGCAAAAATACACAGATAAACAGAAAATATACAGATAACAAGATAAATTTACATATAAACAGATAAATATACACTATACAGAGAAATAGACAAACAGAGAAATACACAGATAAACAGAAAATACACAGATAAACAGAAAATATACAGACAACTAGATAAATTTACATATAACCAGATAAATTTACATATAAACAGATAAATATTCACTAACAGAGAAAAACACAGATTAACAAAAGTCCAAAAATATTTTTTTAAAACTTAGGCACAAACAAATAGACAAATGAATACACAAATAGATAAATAGATAAATAGACAGAAAGACAACCAAATAAATAGATAGACAGTTTGAGGTTCACACAATGGAACAAAAAGCTGACAATCCATGGACCTGCAGACATTCAATAATTCTTGGCAACCGCCACCAATCTTAAATCTTGTATTTTCAATATTGAATTGTTTTTCCATATCTTTGTTTTAATTTTGTTGCTTATACCTCTAATTTTTTATTATTCTTTTAAAAAATTCCTAAAAAGAAATTGCTTTTTACTTGGATATCTGTTTTTTTTTTAAGGTTGATCGAGATCCAACTCCCGGCTCCCAATTTCAACGATCTGGTTCCAAGCCTGGAAATAAGGTTACGGACATCCCCCTCCCCCTTCAAAATATATTTCCCCCCTCCCCCTTCAAAATATATTTCCCCCCTCCCCCTTCAAAATATATTTCCCCCCTCCCCCTTCAAAAAATATTTCCCCCTCTCCCTAAAAAACATGATTAAGAAATATCATTGCAAACAAGTTGGATTAAATTTTTGTAAATTTTTGTAAACAATGCTTGCAGTTTAATTTCTAAATAAAAGCTTAATAAATAAAGACGAGAAGCCTTCTTTTCTTTTCTCACATTTACCTTCACATTTCATTGGTTTTACAAAATAGAACTTTTATTGTACATTATCTTGGTTTATTCAATATTTTAGTTAAGTATGTTTAGACTTAAATACAAGGATTAATGAACTCTAATTTTTAAATTGTTAATTGAAGTTGATAAAAACTTGTTGTTTAGGACTCTAAACAGGGTGTTGAGCGAATAAAATCATTTAAAAATAAATCCCACGTTACGCCCACTATCCTTGCCCCGCCCACCCAGCTGAACAGGCAGGTTACGCCTCTACTAGAGCTACCATCTACTGATACGCCCCGGGCCACGCCGCAGTACGCAGAAACATCAGATTTCGACAGGTTTGCGTCATTTTAGAAATCCGCAAAATTAAGAAAAAATTTGGGGCATTTTAAATTTTTCTCACATATGAGTGCATACTGCATACGGAGTTTTAAACATGTAATCTATTTATATACTTTGCTTGTCTCTGTGTCTTTTTGTATCCAAAAAACTTAAAAATTAAAACGGCCAGGTTTTTATATATTTTGAAAGGGGGGAAATAAGAAATAAAATTACTATGAGAAATTTTCAGTCCAGATTCCTACAATGCAATTTGACTTTTCTATTTCCCACGCCGGTAATTTAAACAGAGTAATGCCCTTTCTCACTTTCTACTTCATTCGGTCTCTTTAATTAATTATGTAATTAAATAATTAGCTGGGTCGTAAAATGTAATTAATTTAGTATATTTAGTATTAGTACGACAAGTGCCTCATATTGTGTACAGCAGTCAGATTTAGAATCTCTATGGTAAGTAATAAAATTCACAAAAAATATTTGAAAAATTCGGGTAAATTTGTTCCTTAAAAATTAAGTCAGAAATTTTGAGTTGTGAATTTCGGAATCAAGTAGTGATATCCATCATATGCAGACCAGCGGATTATATAAATTCCTCTTCAGTATCCCGAGATGAGCATTTATCCTCAAATTTAAAAGTGCCCCCATTGGATATCGAGATTAAGCGTTCAAGATTTACAATATCAACACAAGTTTCAATCTCAGATCAACATATTTTTACATTAGTAGCAAAAAGTTGGTAAAATGGAATTTTTTTTTTAAATTTAGTTTTCAAATGGCTTTTAAACATTCTATTTCTAGCATTGATGATACAGAGGGTGAAATGCTTATTACCGCTCATCCAGCGAAACAATTGAATCTCAAGTAAGTTTTTTAAAGATTTATTTTTCTTAAATAATGTGTATGTGGCCTATTATCCTAAATATACAGAGTTACCCACAATTAATGATTTTTTAAGGGTTTTTTTTGTGTGAAGATTTTATAGCAAATGTAAGACTTTATTTTAGGTCATCTTTATCTTTTTCCTTATAGTTTTTAAAAAAAGATTTAATGTTTCCAAGAAATTGAAATGTTATCTTTATGTAATGCTAAGTAATTTGAGTATGTTGAATTTATAAATGATGTATATATAAGCCATGTAATAATATGTATAAGATATAAGTAGTTGGTATTACTAGCTAATCATAAATTCAATAATAACTGCAGGAACCTAATATTTGATCGATTTCATAATATATACACCTTATCCTATACATCTAACCTTCAGAATATACCCCAATCCGTCCTAGGATATTTTCCCCCCTTTTGTGAATTGCAGCTATTCTATTATCCTCTTTTTATATTTTAAAGAAATTGAGCTTTTTAAAACAATCTCTTGTTTTCTAATCCCTATATATTTGGAACCGGATGACTTCAAACTTTGATTTCTGTTAGATCAAATAGTTTAAGTTTTAAATATATATTTGAGTTTCTTGTATCTCATATAATTTCTCCAGTATTGGTTGTGCCAGCTTCCTGTTTTTCTTCATTGCAATCCTTTCCTATCTTCTTAATATCGGATGAAGTGCAAGAATTGCTATCAACCACATCATGTGGAGCTGTGAAAGGTTTGATCTCGATGCAAGATTATAACAACTGTTCACACATTTGCACACAAACAAACAAACAAACAAACAAACAATGCTGACGCAAAAACTGAAACATCTGACGCAAACCTATGCCCAGGTGCTGTGTGCTGTAAGATAAGGGTATTATCATTATAAAATTAAGAAACAAAGCAACAGGGCTCTGCCAACAATTTTGCAGAATTCACAGTTATATTCTTCATTGAGATTTGGTTTAAGGAATTTATAATCGTTCACAAACTTCTTAAAACTAAAGCACTTTTCAAACAATAGGGCATTACATTTGTTGGGGGCTGTCCGATATAAGTCAGATTTTCTTTTTTTTTCTTGTTGAAACTCAACTGTAATACATGCTACATATAGTGATATTCTATTTCTAAATAAGCCTGAATAATGTAAATTAATTGATACTTAATTCTCGTCTTTGACATTTGAAATAGTGGTATTCAATATTGGTAACCTGCTTTTAACAATTTATTTTTATGAAACAATTGTTTAAACAAATTACTCTTATATCTCTGGTATTTATGCGAGCAAAAAAATGGCAGACCACATTTTGGAAATGGCAGGACTAGAGCTATTCTATGATAATTGTTTCCTAAAGAAATATTGCTAAATTCAGGTTAACACTTTCTAAGGTCAAAGACTACTTTAAAGTATCAATCAATTATCATTATTCCGGATCAATTAGACTATCACTCTAGTATACCAGAGTTTTCGGTACTAAATTTTCCGCTAGAAAACTAAAGATATCTCTAGCCTATATAATCAGACTAATAAGGCAAGCCACTTGTATAATGGAGGGTTACGTGAAATTAAATCACTTCACACCATTTCTTCAATTGTTTTTTTTTTGCAGCTTAATTTTTCTGCTACCTTTTTACAGACTTGTGCCTTGCTACTGCAATTTTAAAACTATTTGGATAGAGGTACAAGTATCGAACTAAAGAATGAAACATATTGGTCTTTTAAAATCCCTCCCTCATGCTTTGCTTGAGGGCTTGAAGTTTAAACCTCCTCCGACCTTGGTTGAAAATCAAGTTTAATTTAGTTCCATTTAACCCTTTTTAAACAGAACATTTCGCTTTAAAATGGGTTTAATTATACCCCCCAAAAAATGTTTTTTATCTTTAATTATTTAAATTTAGTTTTTTCTCCTTGATATTGGAAAACTTCAATAAAAACAACTACTTTTTCAAATATATTTTTTTATGTACACTCTTCTCGAAAGGTTTAACTAGTTGCTAAATATTGGGGCCCAAAAGTACTAAATTTAAACGTCATGATGTCTTTGTTGATAAAATTAAAACTGTCCGCACTAGTTTAGCAAAAAGATCCTAAAAATTTCCACCCACTGCTTTTACGCTCGATACTTTACGTTGTTAATTCCAATACTTGGCTAAAAATGTAGATTAAGTATTTCAGCAGAAAAATCTTAAATTAATTCCAACCACTTATTTTACACACGACTGTTTACTTTGTGTAGTTTTCAAAATCAACTATTTTATATCTTTACTTGGGTAAAAAATAAACTACTCCCATAGATTTATTTATCGACTTCTTGACCTTTTAGATACATGTACGATATTATTTCTTGACCTAGCACAGTTAGGAATATTTTAAACCAATTAAGGAGACCAGACCAGCTTTCCAGTGTTGCCAGACCTCGGCCCTTTGTTTACTCTTTCCATTCCTACTTTCCTAGCTTTTTTATTGTAGCCATGGATATAAGAATTTTAACGCTGCAAGGCGCTTATTTTTATTTTTTATTCCGTGCTCCAGATTTTTTAAAATTTCCCCTTTCCCATCCTTCACTTTATTTTAGTTGATTTAGACCTTAAATCTTTTTTTCCATATTTCCTTTATTTCCCTCCTTTTTATTCTTCCTCCAATCCTCATCCTACTTTCTCCTCCTTCATACATTCATCCAGTTTGCTCATCCGTATCTCTCTTCTATTGTATGTTTATAGTATATACTGTTCAAATATGGTTTTATCTTTTACATCGTCACTTTCCGTTGTTAACATATCTGTTTTGGTGTTTGAAGTGAACTGTTTTTTTGCCCAAACCCCCCACCCTCCAATTTTATAATTGATTATATATATATTTCATTTAACCTTTAATTTAATAAATTCTGGAAAATGATTTGTATGCCCTCCCCTATAGTCTGATCCGATAACTAGTACACTGGAACAGCATGATATTATACACTTACAACTATAGTTCTCTGAAACTCTGCTCTCAAATTACAATTTTTACAGATCTGGACTTAAAGAAACCCCGATGGAGCTGAAAGAGATACAAGGAAGCAGAGCTATCCATCCCAACGACAATTCGGCCGGAGTGACGGTACCGACGACTGACCAAACTGAAGGTCAAGATCGAACCGTGCGTCGCGCCTCAGTCCCGGGTTCTCCGCTCTCGCGCGTCACAACAAGCTCAGTTGAAACACACCCGTGTGAGGATGGAAGAGGCAGGGGTCACGTAAATCCCGTGATAGGAACAAGTGAAAACAAAAGTGAATCTAAACGAAAAGGATCTGTGTCACAACTTATCGCCAGGAATATATATTAACAAAACAAAACTGTAAAACTTGTTTATTTACCGAACCCAACTAAAAGATAAGGAGAAATACTACTTAAAAAAAAAAAAAATTTACCACAGTTTTTCTTATCTTAATATAATATTTGGACCAGATTTGAGGGGTCTCGAAGTTGCACCCCTGAACGACGAAGTTGTACCCCTGACCGTGGAATAAACGCCCCTGAACGAAGGGTGTATACCCCTGAAAGTAAAGTGTTCACCCCTGAAAGAAATGTGACACCAGGCCGAGGGGCCGAGAGCAAACTAAACTCTAGTACTCCAAATACTCCTGGAGAAACAGTAGTACCTGATACTCCTACCGGAGAAACTGAACCTGAACCTGAACCCAACTCCGTGTCAAATCCTCTCTCTGAATCAAGTGAAACCCAAGCTAAAGATATCAGTTCGGGCGCTATTCCTAAGAAGAAAAAAAGTAAACCTCCTAAGAGTGAAAAAGAGCCTGAAAGAGCCGAACTCAAGGGTCTTAAAGAGTTCACACTAAAATACCTCTCAGAAAATGCGCTTAAAGCGAGTGAAGCGAGTGCTTTGAGTGAAGTTACCGAGGAAGATTGTGATTTTGACGAGGCGGGTGAAATGGCGCCTACTATCCGCCGTAACTCCGGCGGCGGATACACTAGCTACGTCTTCATCTCGAATGAACCGTCGCATGACGAGGTGGGGAGCGTGGTGAGCTCCTCCGGGTCCTACACCGATCCTGACTCCAGGGTTACCGTCAGCTTCAAGGAAATTTTCAGATTTATAATTTGGCATTTTCTTATTTTTCAGATTTATTATTAGGTTATTCTGTTTTTCAGATTTATTATTTGGAGTTTTCTTATTTTTCAGATTATTATTTGCATTTTCTCACTTTTCAGGGGTTAAGACGAGGTAAGAAAAGAAGTTTTGTTCGTATTTGCATTGAAAATTTACAAAAATAAGAGTCAGAAATTCTTTTTTTTTGTATTAAAGCAGGTTACAAGTTGGAATTGTTAACAACCCTTAAACTTTTTTAAAAATCAGCTTAATGGGATAAATAATATGAAGATATTGGTGCTAATTTCTAGGTTTACAATAGACAATTCCAATTTGGATTTCTACAATTGATATGCGCAATTCACTATTGAGAACCCTCAATTGAAAATAATCGGTTTTCCGAATGTTTATACGTTGATAGATCTAATTCATGCTTGATCAGACAAAGCTTTTAAGGGTACCGTTGTGAATCGTGCATTGTAATCTTTGCATGGAGGGTAACTTGAATTATGCTAACAATCTCTTATACTCCTACAAATTTGATAACTTGATTTTATGAACTTGTATTATTTTTTTACTTTCAATGGTACTTTTTTTAAATGACCTTCATTTGCCTAAGATAGGTTTTGTCAGAATAGTTGAGCCTAACAATTCAAATTTTAATGTAAAAAACTTCTTTGGCTTCAAACCTACGTATTCAATTACTGAGTGTGTTTACACTTATATGACCTTCAGTGTTGAATTTCGTTCAGCAGTTTTATTATTCTCAAGTTTCTTAAATCAGGTTGATTTTGTTTTTAACGAAAACGGAGGCTTTCGAATTGTGTTCAAATAAATTAATTATTGAATTATGATGAAATTATTAAATAATAATTTATTAACATCTGATAATTGATAATCCGTGCTTCTTGGTGAATAATAAGGTTGATAATCATGATAATTTATGCATTGAATAAAGCAGATGCGCTCTGGCCTGATTCTGCCTGATTTATGCACATTTATAATTGATCATTTACCCTGGGGTGGGGTAAAGTGGAATGGAATGTTACAAGGTTTGATAAAACAAAATTAACGTGAATAAGAAATTCCATCACAAAGAGGAATGGAGGGAATGGGAGTCAAGTCAAGAGGGTTGACTTAGGAAACTGGATAAGGAAAGTGAAGGGAAAAGGGTTGGGTAAAGGGGAAGAAAAGGTAAAAAGGTTTGCTAAAGATGAATAGAATTGGAGAGGGTTGGAAATAGGGGATGGAAGGGAAGAGAGTTGGATAAAGGGGAGTGGAAGGGGAGCTGGTTGGATAAAGGGGAAAGGCAGGGAAGAGGGTTGGATAAAGGGGAAAGGCAGGGAAGAGGGTTGGATAAAGGGGAAAGGCAGGGAAGAGGGTTGGATAAAGGGGAAAGGCAGGGAAGAGAGTTGGATAAAGGGGAAAGGCAGGGAAGAGGGTTGGATAAAGCGGAACGGAAGGAAGAAGGTTTGGATAAAGCGGAACGGAAGGAAGAAGGTTTGGATAAAGGGGAACGGAAGGAAGAAGGTTTGGATAAAGGGGAATGGAAGGAGTTGGGAAAAGGATATTTTGGTGGTAATTATGGCAAGTCAAATGAGAAAAAGTATAAAATGTTGATAATGTTAATGAAAATAATAATTACATTCCTGAGATAGGAGAGGGGTGAAGGGTGTTCTGTTAATATGTAAAATTGGGTGGATCCCGTTTAAGAATAAGGAGGGTGAAATATTTTCCTGAAACAAGGCAGGGGTGTTAAAGCTATCCCCCACCTTTAGAAACAAGGAAGGGGTGTTAAATATATCCCTCACCTTAAGAAACAAGGAAGGGGTGTTAAAACTACTCCCCCCTTTTAGAAACAAGGCAGGGGTGTTAAAACTATTCCCCCCCGCTTTTAGAAACAAGGCAGGGGTGTTAAAACTATCCCCCCCCTTTTAGAAACAAGGCAGGGATGTTGAAACTATCCCCTCATTTTAGAAACAAGGCAGGGGTGTTAAAACTACCCCCACTTTTTAGAAACAAGGCAGGGGTGTTAAAACTATCATCCCCATTTAGAAACAAGGCAGGGGTGTTAAAACTATTCCCCCCCCGCTTTTAGAAATAAGGCAGGGGTGTTAAAACTAACCCCCCCTTTTATAAACAAGGCAGGGGTGTTAAAACTATCACCCCTTTTAGAAACAAGGCAGGGGTGTTAAAACTTGCCCCAATTTTTAGAAACAAGGCAGGGGTGTTAAAACTATCCTCCCCTTTTAGAAACAAGAAGTCCTGTGAACAGTTTCCCTGTAATTTTAAGAATAATGCGCACACCAGGCTTTATTTGCTTTACGCGCCCCGGGGACCATTGGGCAATATACGTGCGCGGCACATGCACACAAATACAAGCACGGACAAATAATGTAGTACCCATGTACTTAACAATAAGAGTAAAGCGTGATGTAAAATATAAAATTGCTTACCATTTATTATAATCTGTATAAAGAAAAATATTTCAGGGAGGCGGGGGGGGGGGGTTTAAACCGATTTTCCCTTAATTTTTTAAAATTGATTCTTCGTAAATTCAAAATCTAAAATGTTAGGCAAAAGTTAAAATAATGTATAATTATATCCTTATAAGCCTTTTGAATAACGGGATGTGAACAGATTGGCATGAAAAGTTTGACAATTTTCGCCAAATATTTGCAAGATTTGAGTAATTTTTATCAGATATGACGTTGCAATCTGTAAAATTTGCACGAGACGAAGGGTGGGTGGTAATAAAGGGAAAACCAGCCAATTTAAAGAAAGGGTATTTTAAAATAATTTGAAAATGAGCTGGTCGGGAATATTATTAAGTCGAGTTTAAACACCCTTCCAACATTTTTAAACACACCATTGTTTGGATTTCTCTCTGAAAATTAATAAAAAGTTGAAGAAAGTTCGCGTTTAAACCAAACCGTGGGAGGACCTTAGACCGGAAATGTTGAATGTAGAGTTTACTTTCATCTTTTCATTTATTCATTCATTCATTCATTCATTCATATATTTTTCTGGAAAAATTTTCTGTACACTATAGTTACTTTTGCGCATTTCTACTGCAGGAAAACAATTAGGAATTATTAGAATTCAACACTTTGTTATTTTTGCATGAAGGGTCACCTTAAATTACGCTTACAGTCCCTTCTTTAATGCCTGCTAAGGAAGAAAAGGGGGGGGGGTCACCAACTAATCCCCCTCCCTATACCTTTATATAGTTATCAATTTATTTTTAACGAAATTCAGATTTACTATCAATGAAAATTTAAGCAAGAAATGGAGTTCATATTATCTTTTTTTTTAAATTGAAATTATATAACAATATAAATGCTGATTTATTTACTGTACCTAACTGTACTTGTGTGTACAGTTATACTGTATAAACATGCAATGTACTCTGTGACTGTAACAAGGCAATGTACTCTGTGACTGTAACCTAGGCAATGTACTCTGTGACTGTAACAAGGCAATGTACTCTGTGACTGTAACAAATTATTTTTAGCGTTGACTGAAGGAAAATAATAAAGTACTATCTATTTCTGTCAGTATATTAAGAAATACCTCTCATATTTCTTAAAATGTTCTTATTACCAGCTTAGCCTTGAAACTAATCCTTCGTTTAAAAATTCAAGCAATTCAATGTTTAAATTAAGAACATTTCTTTGGTTCTACTCAATTTCCCATTCAAAAATTGAGGCAAATTGGTCAAGGGGGTTCTAAGTTGTGATCAGAGATTTGAACAAACACACAAACAGATACTACCACTAAAATTATATACTAGCTTGTTAACCAAGCTTTGCCTGAAACCTATGTTTTCCCTTAAAAAGTCAACCGACACAGTTTACATTTCCACATTAAAAATTTGAGACAAATCAGTCTGAAGGGTTTATGAGCTATGATCGGATAAATAATTTTTACTATTTAGTGTATTCTTTAAACTTCTTCTATCTTTTGAAATAAAGCATAAAAATGTTCTGACCGTGACCGTTTATATTACATGCATTATGTAATTATAGTTCTTTGCAAACTATTACTGAGTTATAAATTGTTACATAATAGTAGTATACCACGCTTTATGTACTTAAAAAGAGTTGAGAAAGATTATAACAACACAATTAAATGAAGGGATTAGAAACGTCATTTTAAGTGACCTTTCATTCACAACGATATCTGATAAAAGAGCTATCCTTATTTTTGTATCTGAAAATTGGTTACTTTTTTGGTTATTCTATCAAAGTGACTTGCAGATTTATGCAACAGAGGCAATGAAGGTTATTGTCAGTATTAACACATTTCAATTATCTGATAACTGAATTAGTTAATTTCCGAAATTTTAAGTTCACTGTTGTGAATCGGACATACTATTTTCTGAGAGAAGGTTACATTGGCTGTCACGACAAGGCATTTTTTTGTTGAAAAATTTAAATTATTGAATTTTTTAAAATAATTATTTTCAATCTGAAATCTAAAGGAACCTGGCGGAATAGCCTCTCCGAACACGTGTGTTGTCTCAATTCAAGATGGCCGAACTTCAAACATTTCTATTGTGTCAACCGAATCCTCAGGAATGTCAATGTCGTCTTCATTTGTTCATATTTATCATCATTTAAAAAAAATATATCATTTTTTTCAATTTTTATGTTGTGATACATAAGATTTTTAATAATTGATTTTGACATTGATTTTTTAACAGAATTGAACTCTCCCATACCAAGTCCCATTCTGGATGGACCCCCTTCTCTCCCGGCTAAATTAAAGGTATTTTTTAAAGCTAAGTTTTGTTACAGTGGTCGACTAGTTTATCAATACACTCAATACGGATTTTTATTAATAATGCTTTGACATTAATTGACAAGATCTATTTGTTTAAATGTTTAAGTGTATCTGCTGTTTGAAAGCTTTGTAAAAATCAATTTTAACAATAAAAGCCGTTTTCATTGTTTTGATGTTTACGACAACTGTATTTAAAGTAATCCACGAAATAAATTGGACTATCTAGATGGCTGATTTTACCTGGTGTAGTAAAATTTATTTAATTGTGTCCCCCCCATCCTTATACACTATTCCCCCTTCTCCTAAGAAGATACTAAGGAGTACTTTGTACGATTAAAATATTTGAAAACAAAATATTTTATTTACTTCAAAGTACGAGTTCGACATAGTTGATATTTGTTCTGGAATATTTAAATATATCGCAACTTCACATAATTCGCAAATATCCAATTTATTGTAAATAGCTAAAAATAACCTAAAATATATAAAGTGTATTTAAAATTAGCTTTCCATTGAGGTAAAGTTTTGGAAATCGATTTTTAATTTTTTTTCCGTGTTCGTAATACAAATCCGTTATTTTATGAGATTTGAAAATAATTTTTTTTTCAGGATCACAATGAGCTTCAGCAGGTTGTTCTAGCCACTAGAGAGTCAATGAGAGATTTTAGTCATCGTTCAAGAGGTATTTATTATTAGATACTTGTTTTTCATCCCCTTCCATCAAAATTATGCATGTAATTAAACCACACATTGAACTAAAATCGGTTCACATTGAGTTATTCATGAACACTCTAGTAATGTTATTAGCTAAAACATTATAAAAAATATTCAGATCCTTGTAGCACGCATCTTAAAAGTTTCGAGATTGGAAAAAGTTATGAATTTTTTTCTTTCAAATTCTTTCAAATTTATTTTGTGCGAGCGAGAATATATTTAGTTTGCCCCCGATGAACAACGCTACCCTTGAAATCATATCTGATCAATATTATTTTAGATACTATCGTTTTTCTAGGGTTTAAAGTGTTAAATCCTGAAAATTTCTATATGTTTTCCTGCAGTAGAAATGCACAAGTCAGGTTTGTGGAGGAACCACAAATTAAAATAATCTGTTTTCAAAATTATAAATATCAAATTTGGAGCAGAATTCAAAGTTAGAGGTATGCAAGTTTTTATTTCTTGTACACCATTGTAAACATTTATGACCAGCAAAAAATTGTTTTCAGCTTTTTTGTTGGAAGTATTTTAGTGCATTGAATTTAGATAACTTTTCCATAAATAGATTCCTGCATCTTAATTTAAGCGCAAACATGTTGGCGAAAGGCATAATTTTCTTGGCTGCATTTTTAACTTGCATACAAGCCGTCACAATTTTTCACGTGTTGATAGAATAATTTGCACGCATTATACTAAATATTGGCGAACTGGCGTGTACGCATCATTTGCGTACACGATGGTCAAACTCTACGCATTATTTGCGTTAAAGCCAAGTTATTGGAAACTTGACATCTGGGATAATTTTATAGCTGATCAATTTTAGTTTTATATTAACTGTCAAAACCATATTTAGAAGATTAAGATTCTTGATTTCTAGATAGATACGTAGATAACTACACAAGATTTCTAGATAGATACGTAGATAACTACACAAGATTTCTAGATAGATACGTAGATAAATCTACTAGATTTCTAGAAAGATACGTAGATAACTACACAAGATTTCTAGGTAGATACGTAGATAAATCTACAAGATTTCTAGATAGATACGTAGATAACTACACAAGTTTCTAGATAGATACGTTGATAACTACACAATATTTCTAGATAGATACGTAGATAAATCTACTAGATTTCTAGAAAGATACGTAGATAACTACACAAGATTTCTAGGTAGATACGTAGATAAATCTACAAGATTTCTAGATAGATACGTAGATAACTACACAAGTTTCTAGATAGATACGTTGATAACTACACAAGATTTCTAGATTGATACGTAGATAACTACACAAGATTTCTAGATTGATACGTAAATAACTAGTAACTACACAAGATATCTAGATAGATACGTAGATAACTACACAAGATTTACAGATAGACACGTAGATAACTACACAAGATTTACATATAGATACGTCTGATAGATGCACAAGATTTCTAGATGGATACGTAGATAACTACACAAGATTTCTAGATATACACGTAGATAACTACACAAGATTTCTAAATAGATACGTAGATAACTACACAAGATTTCTAGATAGATACGTAGATAACTACACATGATGTCTAGAGATAGATAAATAGCTATAGCTAGATCTAACTTCTAGATTTTGACCTAATGTTTCCAGAATATGATTTCTATATGAAATGTTTCATTAAGAATCTAGATTTCAATATTAATGTTTTCACTAGATTCCAGACTTTTAAGTTTGTGTTCTAATTATATTCTTAATTATTATATTAATATAGATAAAATGTCTAACATTGCATGCTTTTTTTTTGCATATTGCATTGCATATTGCATTGCATATTATATTTTTAAAAGGTTTTTAATAGATTCCACACTATTTTAGTTTCCATCGAAAATTCTCGACTTTAATGTTGATCTATATAAAATTCTAGACTTCTAGATAACTACATATAAAAATTCGGTCGGGGTTGACTAAATTACTAGATAGATTTTGACGAATTAATGTCTTTCCATGATTCTTGATTTTTATGTGAATAGCTAGGCCGTGATTTTATATAAATAATACATTGTTGCTTCTACTGAATATTTACAATTTGTTCAAGCTAAATCAAGGTTTTAAGACTAGAAACACAAAGTATTTTAAAAACCTAGATGCTTAAGAGACCAAGTTTTTGAATTAAGCAATTCTCTGATAAATATTGCTTGTTTCCACTTTTCAGCGACTTGATTTATTTGAAAGTAGAAATTCTCACAGTTTTATAAATCCTTGAAGATAAAATATGTATTTACATTTCATGTCAGGGACTTTTATTAAGTATTAAATTTGATTAACCCTCCCCCCCCCACCCTTGATTTAGTCTTTTTTAACTCCGCTTGGTTGAAAATAATAATTGTATCAGACAGATTTATCATTTTTCCTTCCGGCATCCCATCAATTCTTGTTTACATATTACATTTGTGTCACTTAATTGTTTTCTTATTCTCAATACTTTCATTTTCGCAATTATTTTCACGTTTTTTTTTCGTTTTTACTTTTTATTTTTATAAAATCTGGTTTATCGTAATCAATTAACCTTATTTTTTACCTATTTTTTTTGCATGGAATACACACATAGTTGTGCTACATCATGAAAAATGGTTTGAAGGGGGGATTTGTTTAAAAAAAGATATTCCCCTGTTCCCGCATTTCCTGGTGTTCCCTGTTTGGCAGGTTCATCAGTCCTTGATTGTTACAAATCTTATTTTTACCTAATCCTGGTGATCAAAGCCTTATCCAACCAATATCTACGTCACTCTGCGTAGGCGGATGAATACGCAGATTACGCAGATCTAACTAACTCCATTTATGTCTTATACTACCATAAATGTTGATGCGGATATTTTTTTATCCGACTCATTTCAAAACAGACTTTATTGTTGCTTTAGATAACATTTAAAAAAATTTCTTTACTGTTGTTTATTTATTATTATATTATTATCTCGTGTTCCCTTTTTTACAATTTACTTTTTTTAAACTTTTGTTTACCTAAGTAAAAATAAACAGTAACGATGTTCCTGTCTGTAAAAACTTTTTTGTATAATTTTGGCCTTTAGATACAACCTCAAGTTGTAAGTTTATCTTAAATGACTTCCTTGTTTTAAAAATTGGAATATCTTTTGTATTTTCCAATATATACACAATTACAATTACATTTGATTACTGTTGATTCGATTTGATTTAAAACTACCTTGTTTGGTTTTAGGAGGCGAAGAACCGGTTTTCTTCGACGAAGTTGACCGGGTGGATCCTGGTGGAGCCGGTCAGGGAGGTTTAGCAAACTATTTTACATCAACCCTGGAATCTAGCTTCATATCACGCCGGGGCAGACCCCCGGTTATACGGGCAGCAGAGAAGGTACAGGGGAACCAGAAAACATATTCCTTTTTTAAGATCTAATTATTTATTTTATGCTAATCCATTTAAAGATTTAAACAGGTTTACATTACATTACAAGATATAGCATTACATTTTCATCATTTTCATAATTTTCCTCAATTCTAAATCTAGTTCCGCCTTTGTAGGTCTTCGTTTAGGCTCGGGAACAGGCACAGGATTAGGTTCAGGTTCAGGGTGAGGATGAGGTTCAGTTTCAGGTTCAGCTTCAGGCTCAGAATCAGGGTTAGAGTAAGGATAGGGAGACATCTGGGACATCACCACGGAACTGGGAGTCAACTGGGACATCACCACGGAACTGGGAGTCATCTGGGACATCACCACGGAACTGGGAGTCATCTGGGACATGACCACGGAACTGGGAGTCAACTGGGACATCACCACGGAACTGGGGGTCATCTGGGACATCACCACGGTACTGGGAGTCATCCGGGACACATCCACGTTCGGAAGAGTCTGCATTGACCTCACCATAGGTGCTTCCTTGGAAGTAGGGATGGTTTTATTTTCTTTTAATTTTTTTCTGCTCTTTCTCACCCTTTTCCTCCTTTTTCTCCTCCTGTTCGGCATCCTGGAAAGAGACTGGGGGAGGGTACCGAGGGTTTGGGAGAAGGAAAAACATTCTTTACCTTCTCTAGACCATAACCTCAGCTCCTCAGATTCACCGGCCTTCACAAATTCCTGGTATAGAGCCAAGACCCGCTGTATTGAACCCATGTGTGAAAACATATTCCAACACAGGGTATCGTTTTGGAACCCGGGTTTCACGATTTTGAAATATTTTTGTTATGAAATATTATTTTCAGTTAAATTTTGGACGTAAGATGAATTATGTCGTCTTTGACTTGTTTAACATTATAAAATGTCGCCAAGGAACTTTAGAAAAATATGCCCTGAGCTGGGATACTCATAATCCTGATCGCTTCTACCCGATATCCACTGTGGGCACTTTTAATTTGAGGATAATGCTCAATCTCATAATTTCAGTTTTCCCTTTAGGGTAAAACTACACTTCGGATATCATTCAATATCATTCAATACTCTTCAAAAGAGTAAGGACAAACTCCTGATGATGCCAAAGTTTTTGGCGAAATATATTGAGAAGAAAATGATATAATTCTAGTGCTAGAGAGTAGGGTTGGGATTTGTTTAAAAACGATCTAAAGTTTGTATCAAATAAAGATTAAATTAATCTGCAGATTAGCAAAAGATCAAGCATTGATCTCGAAATTCAAAACACAAGAGTTCCCAGCTTAAAACGTTTTAAAAAATGAATCAATTATAAAAATAAAATAAAATATTTTGGGACATTTTAATACAAAAATTAACTGTTTTCTGGTTACGACCATATGCATAATATGGAAACCTTTAGCAGCGTTTTTTCACAAACAAATTATGGAGAATGGTACGAGAAAAGAAATGTTTCTCAACGTGATATTGTTTAGAATGTATTTTTAACATTATGTTTTTAAAATCAAATCGGAGAAAAAATTGTTAAAAGTAATTTTAATAAATGGATATTTTAATAAAGTAAATCAGTTTTTGCCACAAACTCAAAATTAGTATACCCATATCTGTGCAACCCGATGTTTAAGGTTCGACGTCAGCAGGGACATTTCGAGTACGAGGACGAATCTCGAGGGATGATGATCGACTACTCGGATCACCAGGACTACCAGGAGAACCAGGACGAGTACCCGGACAGCAGGGAGGGGTCCTCTACCCCTGTCTTAAATATGGACCGGGAGTATACAAGGTAAAAGCAAAGTCAATAATCTGAAAGTACTCAATTTACAACAATTTATTTTATATGTTCTGTTAAATTTTTCAGAAATAGTTTTCACTAGAAATCAGCTTAATTTAAAAAAGGAAAATTTTGTAATTATTATACAGTTTTTTTTTTAACAATACAGAAATTGTTTTATTGCGAAACGTCATGAATATTTTGGTCAAGAGCAGCAATCATTCTTACCCTTAGGGATAGTTTTTAATGGATAAGATTGTCTCTATGTTTCTCCTTATTCCTATTATATGTATTTTAAATAGGTCCCTTGTTTTAATCAGTGTTTCGGATCCGGATCCGGATCCGGTTGGATCCGTATCATTTGGTCGGATCCGGATCCGTATCAGGAAACGTTGATATGGATCCGGGTAGCGCCAAAAATTAACCAAAACCATGGAATAAATAAATCAAAATGGTTCGTAAATGTATTATTTACATGACGAAAATTTTTCAAAATTATCTTTAATAATTTAATGTTTACATTTATATAATAGTAATGACGACATTTTTAACTTTAGGATTACTATAGTTTATAAATTATAACCTTGCATAACATTTAATAGGGAAAATCCGATTCACAGAATCAAAAGTTACCTCGGATCCATCATCACGGATGCGGATCCGCGGATCCGGATCCGGATCCACATCAAAATGATATGGATCCGAAACACTGGACTTTTAATGTTTAATTAATAATTTTAATCTTAAGTGAACCTCCTTTTTATGAAGGGCACATCCGATACACTAAGGTACCCTTGAAACCTTGATCTGATTAGCAATGTAATAACTCGGAATAATTATCGGAATGTTAAGGGAGAAGTTCCGAATAACGGATCTGGGAGAGGATGAATATCTGGAACAGGATTCGGATAATTACGAGGATTACGAGATCAATTACAATTCAGGTAGGAAAGTTGAAAATTCCGTATTTCCGAAATTTGAAAATTTATAAATACTTAAATTACACAAATTTGAAAATTCCGGAAATTTGAAATTTCGGAAATGTGACAAAACATTGTTACTTTTTGTATGCTTACTTCATAAAATTACGCTATTTAAGATTACATTTTATTGGAATGCATTTACGGCAGCACAGAAGCTTTTAAAGTATCAACGGAAATGTTTACCTACATTTGAATTTAATAATAACAGCTCATGCGTACTGTAAAAGGTTCTGATAAACAGAGGAAATTTAGAAGTTATGTTTTATCCAATGAGATTTCATAATTAATTATCTCCTTAGAGCTGACGTAGTAGTATTAGCTTTACTTAGTTAAACTTCTTCATTCACCATCCCCTGTAGCGCTGTAAATATATGAACAATTATTAAAAATGACAAATTCTATTGATAAATGTTCATAAACAAATTGTATACAACAACATTTTAAAATACGATTGATTTCAAAAGGTATTAATCATTGACATAACATATCTAATTGAATTCGTAAAATTACATTGAATTGAGGGAGCTTGCAATACGATATGCAATATGTATTGTATATTATCTTGGTTATCTACAAATCCATATGTTGAATAAAAACTAGATAGCTAGCTTCATACTGGGGGTCGGAATTGTTTATTAATAAAACAAGCTAAAGATTTAAAATGTTCACATAGATCCTCCGTGTTAATTTTGAACTTTACTGAATAAAATGTACATACTATTCCTGAGTGGTTGTATGCCCTTTTACGGAAACTAGCCGCTTCCTGTTTGTTTTTATCAGGCCCTGGTTCTATTTTCGTGTACAGGATGCTCAAATAAACAGGAGAATTATAGACTATCAATCACTTTCTAAGTTTGTATCTAAATACGGCTTGTTGCTTTCCAAAATTTGGGCTTGCCTTTCAGGTTAATCTTACAGAGATAAAGAAATTGAAATCTGGGCACATACTCTAATTTTTAATCCCTATATCTTTCCAAACCGATGTTGTGAATCTTTGATATTTCAAACTATGAATTCTGTTAGAATAAATAGATTTCAGGTTGCAAAAATTGAGGGATTAAAAATTTGAGTTTGGGGAAAAAACTCAGTTTGATAGCTGATCGCGCCCATTGGTTTGGCGTTGATCGATTGAGTGCTTGTTACGTGTAGAGTGTAGACATTGATAGCTGATCGCACCCATTGGCTTGGCGTTGATCACTTACGAGCTTTTGTCCTGGTTGACATTGATAGTTGACAGGATTGTGTCCGGGTTTAGACATTGATAGCTAAGCGAAACTGATTAGTACCTGGACAAATATGTGTTCGAGAAACCTTTATAGAGTAGGGCATTTACTACATAAATACTACTGAAATTGTGTTCACGAAAAAATCTGTGTAGATGCAAGACGATTTAGAAGTCGCCTATGTTTTATACAGAAAGGATGAAATTTTAAAAAATGCGCAAATTCAAATAAGAACTAAAACTTGGCAAGAACGGGAATTAAAAAGTATTCCAAAACTGCACACAAAAACAGCCCACTTTATCATTCTTTGCAGAATATTGCGAATATTCAACTTTTTATCTTGATGTTTGTGTAGATCTTTCATTCTTTTTCATCCTGTTTCACACCTTTGTTTTCAAAATATGCAGAGTTAGAACTTTTTGTATCTGGAAAATACCGTAAGTTTTTACTCCGAGCATTTTGACTTTGATCTCCACATCTATCAATTTTTGGCAGTTGTCATCACGGGGGGGGGACTTGGTAGTATGTGCTTAATAATAGTTGCTAATGGCACAATAATAGTTAACCTTCCCGGCATTATTTGCTCAGCATTCATAGTCAATAAACTACAGGGGGTGGCACGCCAGGGGGGGGGGGAGTCAGTTATGCTCATTATAAAAATTATACAGCCCTGTGATGTACATCTTAATTTTTTAATGTCGTATTTATTTTTAATTTTCTCTCTCCACTCCATCGGGTTTTTAAATCCCAGGACATACGTTCAACGCTTTGTTTGCTATGTCATGAGAATTAGCTACGCATTTCTAAATTTATCCTTAACCGAGTACTGTGCGTACAGTGTACGCAACCCTGGACACGTATGAAACATCATGGGGTGACGCAGTTGGTATTTCAATGGTTTGATTCTAATTAAGTGCACAAAGTCAAATTAGTTTGAATTATATTTGGTAAAAATGCGGTTTAGTACAGAAAATATTGCGTGTATTATATTTGGTAAAAATGCGTACGGTTTAGTACAGAAAATATTGCGTGTATTATATTTGGTAAAAATGCGTACGGTTTAGTACAGAAAATATTGCGGAAATAGTTAGATTTTACTATTTTAGTTTTTTAAGTTCGTCACACGTATTTGGGCCAAACCAATGTTTTCTCAGAACTGTTGGAAAAACATTAAAAATAATATTTTTTAATTTTAACTTCTCAATATGTTTTTTTTATGTGCCCAATATAGTTCTCAAGACTTAAAAGCATTGAGAATAATTATAGAGTTAACCTTTACTCTAAGCATAAAAGTTATTTTTTATTGAAACTAAATGATTATTTTAGAAACAAATTAGACATCAAGTTCAATAAAGTACAAGCTATAAGATCTCGCTTCATCCTTGGACTAGTTTATTCATTTGAAGTTTGAGGAGTGAATTAGGACTCTCTAAACACATGATTTGATTTGATAACCAGAAACATGATAAACAGTGGAATGATTGACATCTTCTTTAATGAATGAATGACATCTGTTAAACTGTTTTTTTTTTATTTTCTTCTGGTTAACAACTACAAGACTTGCTAGATCCATTTATTTTTCATCAAGATATTAAAATTGAAAATTCGGGGTTGATTCAATAACTTGGAACTTGAACTTGAATAGTCCTCGTATATTTTGTTATTTTAAAAGTGAAAATAGTGCAGACCACATTTTGGACATGACAGAGCTAAATGTATTTTCAATGTTCATACTTGTAAAATTTTGTTCACAAATCAATCTTGTTCAAATCTTTTCATTTGCCCTAATAAAAGCATAAAATTTGATGTTCAGATTTCAAATTGAAATTATGAAATAACATTGATGCTCAAAACTAAATTAGAAATATTATAAAAACCTTCACCGATATAATTTGTTACAATGACAGTCCATTGATATATTAATTAATATTAAGAATATGTTCCTAAATTCAAACTAAATGTTGTCTCAAACCTACAATACTGGTCCTAGCTGCTATTATTATGATATAGAGTGTAATGAACTCATGTTGGCGCTGATTGTCATATAATCATATATTTCTAGTGTGTCTAACCATTACATAGATTACATAGACAGATAGATCATATCCTTAACCCATAAACATACCAAATACCCCCCCCCCTTCCACTTATACAGGGTGTCCAACGAAACACGACAATTGATAGACAACTTGAAGATTCTTGAAGTATGATTCTTGATACAAAATTCGTCCAGTATCGGCATTGACGGAGATCTGACGATCCTCTGTAATAATTTAATAAAATATTATGTTTCTGTTCCCCTAGAATTGACCTTTCCTTCCCTTGACCCCTCTTAATGTCATTTACTTATGTGTGTATTGAAGTTTACGCTAAGGTTATCACTGATGACCGATTAAGACCCCGGGGTCAACTGTTCATACTAAAGGGACCAACACACACATATAAAAGGGCAAAAATCATATTTTTTTTGTATAGATAAAAGATAAATTAAGTGGAAAATCGTTCTCAAGGCTTCGGATTTGTAAAAGAAATCCTGCATGGGAATTTATTTAACAAATTTTTTTTAAATCATTATATCATTACAATACCGAATGTTTTTTTTTTCAGCAAAAAGTCAACAATAAAATAGTCAATATACATAATATAATGATATCAGTGGCCGAATTTTAAGAATTTGAGCGGCGGTTTAAATTTAAGCCGCGGCTTAAATATGGTTGGTTCCACTTAAAATTGAATCAAATGTTTCAAGATTTAAGCCGGCTCTTAATTTAAACCGGGGTTTGGCAGATTTAAACCGCGGCTCAAATTCTTTAAATTCCATCTCATATGATCTTTTACAAATTGTATTCAAAAAAAAATATATTTATAGGTTTACTTATGACTAATGGATACTGTCCTGATAAGGCCTTTTCTGTCACAAACCACTGGTTTTACAAATATCTCAAACCTTTTCTGGTTTAGATTAGAATGTCATAATACATAATAAAATGAAAAGGATGAAAAGAAAATACTGAAGTTAAAACTTTTGTGCTGTGAATCTTGGAATCAAGCAGTAATCTCCTTCTTATGAAGATTTACGGATTAATTTAATTTATCTTTGAAATATCTAGTGATCAAGTGCATTGATCCTCAAATTTTAAAGTACCCACATTGGATATCGAAATCAACAAGATCTACACATAAGTTCCGATCTCTGTTCATGTACACAAAAATGTTTGTGCATAATTTCCTTACTGTTCTGAAAAGTAACATGAAATTCTTAAAAATGCGGACTAGAACAATTGTTATGATGAAGCCGAAGTTCTTCATTTAAAACTCTTTGATTTGATATTTTTTTCCATCTTAAAAGTTCATACTGGACACAAAATGCATATTACGAAAATGCTAGTTAAATTATAAATTTTTATATTGCGCATGTTCTGCGCAATGCCTCGTTCACTCTCTGTCGGGTTAAATCGATGGGCGTTCCTTTCCTCTCAGAAATAGAGATTTCTATCTTAAAAATTTCAATTTAAGACAAGTTCAAGACAGGATAAGTAATGGGTAAAGTCAAGGAAGAAATAAATAAGAAGAATAATGTTATAAAACCAAGGTTAAATAAAGGTGAATATGATCAATAATGGGGATGCTATAATGTGACATCAAATTGAATAATTTTATTTGTAAGATTTGAAGAAAAATGGCACAAATCCAAGAATAAAATATTGAATTTTTAGGGTCAATCTAATTTATGGCAACTAAATCATATATGACCATGACCTTTACATTATGATAAGAAATAAGATTAATTCTACCCTACTCCTTAGTATCATGACTCCTGTCTTATAAATTGACAGAGTTATCTTTCTATCTATCTATCAATCTATATATTTTATTGTATCTATCTATCTAGATTTAGTTTTACTTATTGTATCTATCTATCTAGATCTAGTTTTTTTGCAACATTTTGATAAGTCATTCATATTCAGGGCGCATACAGGCATAAGTTGGTTAGACTATCTATCTATCTTACATCTATCTATCTACCTATGCCCTCTATCTATTTATTTCTATATCAGAGCAATCTATCTCTACGACCCCTATATAAATTCTGGTTGCTGTTGTTGTAAGTTCTGCAGAAACCACGCTATGATAATTTTGTATACAACTTTGTGCTCTGGTGGTATTTTTAACATGTTAAATCATTATATTTCTCCTTAAACACAAGGATGAGACTTCGAGACGACTGTACAGAATTTCAGTCTTTTTTCTTACTTTTATGGTTCCCTGTAGCTACACAAGCTTATTTCCTTCTTTACCAAATCTAAACACAAATTTAACAGGTCGTCATTTAAATCTTATTATTTGTGGGTAACCCTGTACAACTATTCTCTCTTTAAAACTATAAGGGGGCTGGGGTTCTTGAAAATGGATTTGTTGTTGTTGACTATTTGAGTGTAGTTCAGCGTGAAACAAATATTGATAAAAACGCTGAGACACAATGTGTTGCTTTCAATAAACCCCCCCCCCACTGGAAAAGTTGCAGCAGATTTGGGTCTAAATTGTTCAAGAACCCCTATGATTTTTGTTCGAAATTTCGATCTAACGAAAACATTGATCGAATTTGCGAACAGTTTTTAGATATTACAAAAATTATGTTCTGTTTTTTTTTCTCAAAGCTTAAAAGAAAAATGTAAAAAAGATTTCGATAACACCAAAAAAATAGTAAAAGAACAAGATTTACAAAGAATAGAAAAAAAAACACTCCTACATTTTTTGTTGTTGATTTACATATTTTATTTGAGATGATTTGAATAAATATCTATTTCAGTGTCAAATGTCTGTTTATCAAAGAATACATATATGTCAGAAACTGAACCATATCCTTTCCATCGTGCTGTATTTAAACAAATATTTGAAATAATATGAGAGTACGTCAGGTTACCTGTCAGTCTAGATCCCTGGTTTATGTCAACAGTTTTACCCACGTGAAACATATCAAATACAACGAGCAAATGCCGCAATTTTTTCATTCGTCTAATTTGAACTTTAGCGCATTCTGGTCCAAATATGTATCACAAAGCACGGCCCAGTTAGCATCTTAGTAATTTTAAATATTTTTGCAAACTTTTTAAAATAAATATGTTTGTTTATGCTTAGATTTTCTTTTTGTAATAATTTTAGGAAAAAACAGTATTTTCTTAACCGTATATCTAAAATGCAAGATACACATTGCATGTCACAAATCCTATTAATTCATCAGTTAAAAGCATGCTAACAGGTTTTATGACACACAAAAACTGAAAAATCATGTTAATAAAGCTGTCGAATAACGTCAATAACTTATGTTTATAATTGCCTTTTCCATGAAATAGTAATTACTTGTCAGTACTTTTTCTTCCAAAAATATATTAAATATTTTCTTGATTTCCCTTTTTATGAATTTACAGTGTGAATCATGAACCTATGGAACATCCTTATATATATATTTGATGTTGATATCAAGCAAATAGTATCTTCAGTTGAATGAAAATCTTATTATTTAGTGAAATGGGTCTATGTATATTGTATATCATGTATACATCTACATTCTACAACTGTTGTGTTTTTGTACACGGGACTATTTGAACTCACAAGATACTTCTAACAGTCGTCTTCCTTTTCCACATTTTTATGGGCTCCACTGTATTTTTTAATATGGAGGCATTATTAAAAAATCTTTATTTCTAAGAAATATTGAATTTTTTATAGAAATTATCCATATTTTTGAAAAGCAGAGGCAAAGGATCCAAACATATTAAATCCTATTTAGTAGAGTCTGGAGAGAAATTTGGATGCATAATTAATAAATCCATATTTATGAGAGTCTTGAGAGAAATATTTGGATATGGATGCATAATTAATAAATCCATATTTAAAAGACTCTGGTGAGGAAAATTTGGATATGGTTGCATTATTAATAATTCCATTTTTTGAACACTCTGGTGAGGAATATTTGGATATGGATGCAAAATTAATAAATTCATATTTAGGAGAGTCTTGAGAGAAATATTTGGATATGGATGCAATATGAATAAATCCATATTTAGGAGACTCTGGTGAGGAATATTTGGATATGGATGCATATATGGGTCCTCAAGAATATTCTATGTGCCAACCTGTTTATGACTCGGAGGAATACAGTCATTCAGAGGTAATTCATTTTTATCATGTTTTTGGGTCCTATTGATATTTTTATATTTATATGGAAAGGTTATTTTAAGGGCGTCGAAGAAACTGGACTCTAATTTTATAATCCCTTATTTTGTGTAAATATTTTAAAGTTTAACTATTTGAGCTAGAAAAATTCAAAGCTTGGAATGTGAATAGTCTACGACATATGGTTGGAAAGATTTAAGGATTAGAAAATAAGAGTTCGATCAGTTTCTTCCTGATCACATATTGCGGAGAGCACTAATTTGCAGAACTTATTTTTTCTCATTTTATTGCTTGTCAATTTCTAGTGTAAAAACTAAAGACATCTATACTAAGACATAAATTAATTTAAAACATAATATATTGAACTTTTGAAATGTTTTTAGCATAACAATTATTTCAATTCCCTTCTGTTCTTTCAATGGATCGAGTTTCCATATTATATAGTTTTAAATTTAAACTTTAAATTACCTTAAAGATATTCTACAAAGAGTGTTGAACTTAAACCCACTTAGTTAAACTTTAATGTTTGAGAAGTTTTAGTAAATTTACATAATTTCTCAAGATATTTTAATTTTTCAATTTTTGAATTATTCTTTTCAAAACGTTATATTATATTCTTACAGCACTGTGTACAACATATTGTTATATTTTAAAGAAATATTTTTTTGTAACAGGGTGAAGCCATTTCTGGTGACGAATTTGACAGGGAGGAGGAGCTACGAGGTTATAACAGGTTGGTAAAATTAAATTTTTTTCTTAGAACATTAAAGTGTTTAGAGATGCATACATAAATGTTTTTTTAAAAATTTATTCTGTGTCACGTGTGTGAAATTACACCTATTAACATATACAAATCTGGGATAAATTTATTTTGTTGATATTTTTGAGAAATACTGACAAGTAGAGTAACTATGAGATAATAGCAAATTCTCTATATTTTAATACGGGGGGGGGGGGTATAAATTAATGTGATTTCAAGTAAATGATCATAATTGTATTTTTTCTACAGGGCAATTGATTTTACATTACATACGATACAAGAAGAAAGCTGCGAGGAATCTGAATCAGAGAATAGATCTTTAAGGTAGGTCGTCTTGGACGAATCTGCAAAATAAATGTAAACATTTGTTTCGCGTTTATTCTAAAAGTTTTAGCTGAAATTATTTTTTAGGGGATTATTTACCTTGCCTGGAGCTAACATGATTTTTCGGTGGATAATATTCTTTTAAAAGAATGAATTTCCTGTTTTGGAACTAAAATTTTGTAACATATTCAATTGATAACAAATGATCAGAAGATTAATATGTTTTGTTGTCGAACTTTCTTCAGAAAAATGAGTTTTATTTTATTTGTAAAATGTGTATATTTAGGGACCGGAAAAGACATTCAGATCCTTCGGAGTTGGAAAAATATTTTTTCTATGGAGTTGGGGGTGGAGCATCTGTAGATCCTAGTATACAGGTAAACATTTCAGAATTGTACGGATTGTACGGATTGTTTTTCGAAAATTGTACGGATTGTACGGATTTCTTCTGAAAATGTACGGATTTTTGTACGGATGGGGTCAAAAAAGTTTTGGCCACCCTGAAACTCAGATTTTTTAGTCCCCCATAACTGTGCAACCCAATGTAGTAGACCTTAGATTTTTCATATTAAGGGTTCTGATCGCATCAAATTTTTAAGGTTTTAACCATCAAGTTGCAAAGATATAGGGATATTAGAATTTAAAGATGTGAGATGGAATTCTTAATGAAAAATAATTTTTAACATTTTCACTCTTCCTCTTCCATACCTCTGAAATTTGTTTAACATTTAAACTATTGTTTTGGGCTTCATAGCGGAACTAGCAAAGTTATTTTTTATCAAATTCAAGGGAGTGGAGTGTTGGGAGCAAAGTTTGTCACAAATAGTGATCAAAATACTTTTTGGAAGCAAATTTATTTATTCTGTTTGCTCTTTTTGGAAATGGGAACAAACAAATTTTTAAATATTATATTCAGAAATTATAGTTTTTATCATTGAGAGAGTAATCATGATATTTTGATGGGATTTGCATAGATTAGTGGTTAATTGACTGGATTTTTTATTTATTTTAATTAAAATTTTGATGTTAAGGATGAGAGTGAGTATACTAGTGATGATCCGAGCGAACAGCAGTTTGAAGATGAACCTGAACAGCAAGCTGATAAAGAACAGGAGAACCGGAAACAGCTGTCTAAAGATGAACAGCTGGCTGCTCGTCTTGAGAAGAAGATAACAAGCAGATTAGAGGATTATTTTATGGCAGGATTAGCGGCAGATACACAGCAATCCTTAGGTAATTTAGTCACCGACTAAACTTTAATCCTTTAATACATTTTTTTTCATTTTTGAAATTAAAATCTCCCCCCCCCCCCCCCCCCCCTTTCCTCTTTTCACAACAATATATAATTGTCATGTTTCTAATGACACCCTGTGGGTCAACGGTTTTAAACTTTGAAGAATAAATTGTAGATGGAATATCTGACCGGGGTAATACTGATGACAGTGGGTCAGTTGGAAGCGAGAGTGATGGTCAACCTAGCCCAGAACACAGGTAGCAAATTTAAACCAATGTATTATTTATTTAAAAATTAAAAAAGAAATAAACTGGGTAAAATGGAGTCGACGTTCAAGCAATCTTAATTTGATGTTGTTATTGAGAAAATACAAATGCTGTGTTTCATAAGTTCACACAGTTAAATGGGTCATACTGAAGTACTGCCTGTAAAGATGAAGATGAAATATTTAAAAATTAATTTTTCAAATTTTTTAGGCGAAAAAAGATTTCTCGGACAAAATTTCGCTCCGACAGATCCGGAGAAAGTGAGCAGAGTAATGTCGAAGAGGAACGCCAGGAGGGAAACAGCTCCGGTGAGGACGGATCGTCGGCATTCGTCTCCGGGGACGGCTCCTTCGATACCATCAAGCGGAAGAAGAATAAAACGCGCAAAGGGTTGGACGATCGGCGGCCGAGCGACGTTGATGTACGACGTGAACCTGTGAACAGGGTTGAGAGCGCAGATAATGAATCACTTGTTGGAGGAGGCAAGAAATCTGAACCTAGTCCAAGATTGAGCCCATTTCAGGGTTCCCAGCCAGATGAAAATATTGAGACTCCTCTAGGGGAAATTGTCTCAGATAAAACAGATGCTGGTGATCTAGAATCTAAGGGACGGAGCTCAGGATCGACTAAAAATAGTCCTTCAACATCTCCCCCCTTAGTATCAGGTAATAAAATCATTCAATTAAATAAAGGGTGTCCCAAAAAAACATGGGAATTCAGTGACGAATTCGATATCGTCTTTATTATTAATTAGCATTGTAATACCTAATTTCAAAACCCATAATATTATGTCTGCTAGAGTTGATTTTATAAAAAGGGTAAAAGACTGTAAAGATGTGTCTATAATGTCTCCGCAAGATGAACAGTGAAGACGGAAAAGTTTACTCTGTTTGTATACTGAAATTTTCTTGTTTACTAAGTACAACCATATGCAGTCAAAACATAAACAAACAAAATGTGAACATAGCAGACGAAACTCTTACAGATTACAGCTTTCTCAGTAGGTATCACTATACTAAATCAAAGAATTATTTTAAAAGACGATATCGAATTCGTCACTGAATTCCCATGTTTATTGGGACACCCTGTACAATATTTTAAAGCAAAAATATAAAAAAAAATTAATCTGTAATCTTCGAACGTAAATCTACTTTTATAAAACAGTCATAATCAGAAAGACACGGAATTAATTGACAGTTTATAAGGCGACTTTACATATATATCTGGCTATTTCAAATGGCAGGGCTAACGCTATTTTGTAATTATCTTGTTATCAATCATATTTGTAAAATTAGATTGTAAAGTCTTTTGATTAATTTTAATTAGTTGCGGGTATTTCTGATTAGGACTGTAAAAAAAATGGAATAATAACTTTAAGTGTTTACGGCAGAAATGTATTAAGCTTTTTTTCAGGACCAGTTCGTAAACACAAAAGCAGAGACTCTGGATTTGTCGGCTCAAATGACGATCTTCTTCGTAATGAAGGAAGTAGTGTTGTGCACACATCGAGTGACGATACCCAGGGTAAAAATGGTTCGAGTAGCGAAGGCGAACTCGAGCTTCGAAAGACTCGACTCGAAAAGGTTTCCGAAGTTTCAGAGAACACCGAAGATGATTGTGATAAATCCACCGAACTGGCCAAATCCACAAGGCCAATTAGCGACATTTCATCGCGTAAAAAGTCGAATGAAAGTGATATTAGTAAAGAAGGCGACGTGAGTTTGTCGCGAAAAGACAGTTTTCATCAGTGGAGTTCAGACGAAGAGACCAATATCATGATGAACAGAATGCGCGCATTTTTCAAGAACATGATGGTGAACGCGAGCAAGGGAACCACCGAAGAGCGTAAACCTACGCAAATTCTTCACTTTGAGAACCAGCTGACGCGGTTAATGCGTACGGTTCCCGGGATTAACGAGCAACAAGTGAAGGAGATTGTTGAGTATCTAAGTAGTGAGGATACGTGGTCGGATAGCTATGATAGCAGTGATTATACAGACGCTACGAGTAGTGATCTAGAGGTAGGATGTTAAATCTTCTGTGAGGATACCATTATCCACTAATAGCATTGTTAAAAATTAAAAACTTTGTACAGACTGATCAAATTCCGTACAGTCGTCTGTTAAGTCTCATTAATAGTAGGCAACCCTGTATACGGTGTTAAAAAGTTTCTGAAGTAGAGCTGGGGAGGGGGGTAAAGCATAAAGCTTGTTAAGGAAGAATATATGAAGATTAATGTTATACAAAAATTAAGGAACGGGAAAATAACAACAAAAATAGAAAAGAAAAAATGTGGGAAAAATGACTAAAATGGAAAAGAAAAAATGTAGGAAAAATGACAAGAATGGAAAAGAAAAATGTGGGAAAATGACAAAAACGGAGAAAAAAATGCGGGAAAAATTACTAAAATGGAAAAGAAAAAATGTAGGAAAATTGATAAAAATGGAAAAGAAAAAATGTTGGAAAAATGAACAAAACGGAAAAGAAAAAATGTAGAAGAAATGACACAAATGGAGAAGAAAAATGTGGGAAATATTACTAAAGTGGAAAAGAAAAATGTGGGATAAATGACTAAAATGGAAAAGAAAAAATGTAGGGGAAATGACAAAAATGGAAAAGAAAAATGTGGGAAAAATGACCAAAATGGAATCGAAAAAATGTAGGAAAAATGATAAAAATGGAAAAGAAAAAATGTTGGAAAAATAACTAAAATGGAAAAGAAAAAATGTTAAAAAAATGACAAAAACGGAAAAGAAAAAATGTAGGAAAGAAAAAAGTGGGGAAAATGACAAAAAATGGAAAAGAAAAAAGTGGGAAAAGGACAAAAATGGAAAAGAAAAAAGTGGGAAAAATGACAAAAATGTAAAAGAAAAATGTAGGAAAAATGACAAAAATGGAAAAGAAAAAAGTGGGAAAATGGAAAAGAATAATGACAACGTGTGGGGTTGAAGTATACTTAAAATAGAGCTGTTCTGAATCTGGGAAAGGAATTAAGATAATCAATTACTTGAACACGGAACAACTTGACCACCCCCCTCGCCACACACACACACACACACACACACTGATAGACTAGATCTGTGGTTAGGCCACTATTTACATTGTTATTATTAACTCTAGGCTAAACTCATTTTCATTGTCTTTCAACATTGTCTTGATATTGTCTTGATAATGAATAACATTAGCATTAAGTTTTTAAGTTCTTAAAAATAGGAAGACATTTTGAATTAAATTTAGTTTTTCCTTTTTTCACCCCTGTCCCTGATCCATTATCTTAGTTTCCAACATATTTAACTTTATCTGTCATTTCCCAGGAGATATTTATTGTAATTATTTTGTCTAGATATCATTTCAAGCTTTAATCATAAGACATTTAAGTGTCAACTTAGATTACAGATTATAAAAGTCATCGAAACCTGGACATTAAACTCAATATTTACCATGACAAAGATCACATTTTTTTCATTCTAAAATTTTATATTTACTTCCTTTTAAACAATATTGTAATTTTAGGTGTCCTTAATCTCTTGGTAAGATTAAGAAATTATTCTAAATTATATTTTCAATTTTATTTTTTCAGTTGCAAGCTCTGGCAAATGAGGACCATGTTGTCGACTTGGATGTCGTCATCCAGGAACCAACAACCGATATCTCTATTGGCGACGAAGATTTCCTTAAGGAGACTGCGATCATGTACCAAAAGCTCATGAATTCCGTCGCTAAGATGCAGCAGAGCAGCGAGGATCGTCGGGCCGAGGAGAAAAGATCGCCACCGATCACTGCAAAAATTCTTCATCATATCAGTTCTCGTCTGATCACCTTGATGCATGAGGTGTCCGGCTCAGAAAACTCGTCCGTCGTCAGTCGGTCAGACAGTCGGCAGGACCTTTACGATGCTGTGACGAGTAGTCCGAAAATACCGCGAGACGAACAGGACGATAAGAACTACACATTTGACTCGCTAGACTCGCCGAAGGTTCTGCTTGGCCCGAAACTGGGTGGACCTGGCCCAGCTAATCCCTTTAGGTCAATGTACATTTAAAACAAGCTGTTTGCATATTAAACTTCAGTAAATAGTTTATCTTACTAAAGATTTGTTGTTAACTAAAACATATTTTTACTCCTGTAAAGCAATTAGATAATTTTTACTATTCTCTCAATCTTAGTCGTAAAACCAAAGCTAGCGAAGTTAATATGGTCACAAAGTCGTATCAGTAATTCTGCATAAATTTTAAGGGGGGGAATAACATAAATTTCAATGTCGGAATATAAAACTTATTTATAATATTTCCACTGTTTACATTTCTAAGATTAAGTACCCCTCCTGCTTATAACGAAGCCTCCAGTATGAAGCGTGAAAAGGCGAGGAACTTGCCAACTTCTTGTTTTCAAGATTTGTTTCAGCATTCCTCGGGTTTTTCACTTCTGATTGATAATGTATGTTTCTCGCTAGGTTTACTAAAAACACTTCCAAAAGCGTTGAAATCCTTGACCTTGGACCCAGGCGCGCTTCTCTAGATGACAGGGCGCTCAAGCACAGGCACAATATTCATATTACGCGCTCAAATTATTCAATGAGTGCTTCTTGAGATGATAAAGATTTGTCAACAGAATTTATTTTCCTTCTCAGTAACAGCATGAAATAACTGTTTATGGGACTGTTAACGTTATTTACATAAACCCTTTAATAAAGAAATATATCCCAAATCCATAACGTTATTCTTTTAAACGTTGTCTAATAACAAATACGATTTTATAAAAACAAAAATTAACAGAATTGGTCTCTTTAAAAAAAGCGACAATTTTTACGGGCATTGCGAATTTGGGCATGTAAATATATAATGGTCACTGGAAAAGATATCTTTAAGTCCTTTTTGAAAAGTTTGAAAATTTATAAGTTATGGTGCTTCTTATTTCAGTCCTTGGAGGGAAAATAAGCGTTATTTAAGTGACCCTCCATACCACATTTACAATGCTACCCTCGAAACCTTATTCTGATCAAAATGTGGAAGATAACGTCGTTTTTTACTCAAAGAAATTTCTGATAATTTCTCCATTGTTTCCAATATACAAGAAATGCGCAAGTCACTTTTGCGGGTAAGCCACAAATGAACAAAAACCTGCATATCTAATTCATACTTGATCAGACAATTCGTTTAAGGGTACCGTTGTAAATCAGACATTGCAAGGGTCACTTGAAATTACGCTATTAGTCCCTTTAATATATTATTTTGTTTATCGGCTTACCGATGAATATTGTTAGTATGGGTAAATCTACCTCCTCGGATCATGATGTATGGCATGGAGTACATCGAGAACAGCGTCGTGGTTCTTTGCCCCGGGGTAACCTGGAGAACCAACAGTCAGGTAAAATTCACATCTTATACAGTTTTACCGAATGGTTGGCTGACGTCATTTTCTAGCCCCGGGGGGGGTGGGAGAGCTCAGAATTATTGCGAATCTTTGAATCTATTTTGGAAATCGAATATAAATGGCTAGTAGGTGCTTGCTCTCTCTACTTGAACTCATAATCTGTCGAGGGGGGGGGGGCGTCTCCCCAATTTTCCTCCCTTTTGAAAAGATTTTTTTTCATTCCCCTTTTGTGAATTGTTGAGGTTAAATATTGTTTCGCTTAATTGGGCAACAAAGTAGTTCATTTAAAATAATTGATTTTGATTTAAAGTTTTGGAGAGACAAAAAAAAAATATTTAAAAAAGTGTGATTTCCTGTCTTTTTAAGCCATTTCTAGTTAATATTTCATACTTTGTCTTGATTGTAAAGATATAAAGATTAGAGAATTATAGTTTTGGTTGAGAATTATCAGTCCTTTTATACCTGAAGATATAAAGATTAGAGAGTTTTAGTTTTGGTTGAGAATTATCAGTCCTTTTATACCTGAAGTTGCTATTTTCGGTAAATACTTTAAACACTTTAATAGCAATAATTGACAGAATTACTCATAGAAGATAAATCGTATTTTTATGGGGACTTGGTCCTTCCTGCCTTTGACTATTTTATAATTGTTCATTTGATGTTTATTGCAGGAGTATCTGACCCTGCTCTTGATGATGAAACCTTCAGCTGGAAAGGAAGTTTTGAATCTGCGCTAGCATCTGATTCAAGAACTAGATTAAGCATAGAAGCGAAAAGGTTATTTTTACAGATTATATTCATACTTCGGGGCCATTTTTTTCATCAAGGCTCCATTTTTATTCTTATTGATAAAAACGTTTTTAACAATTTCTTTAATGTATTTTTATTTTATGAATGTCTCATGATATAAAATTATCTTTTATCATTATTTCCCAATAACTTAGGGTAGCATGCAAGACATGTCATTAATCAATTATGTTAATTTATAATGATAAGGATAAGAAGCTGTTTTGAATTTTAATTATGTTTTTGGAAATTCACATAACTTTCTAAAGTTAATTTTTCATTCTCAGACCTGAACTTGATAACATGGGTTAAATTCATAGTGTTAAGTTTTCTCTAAAAATCATTCCCAGCCCATTTTTCGGGGAAAAAAATTCCGCCAAAAGTTATTTATGTTTTAGGGTTTTATTTGCTGAATTGGAGAAAATAAATAAATAAGAATGAAAAGAAAAACTTACCATTTGATGTCCAATATTACCTCACGTCTTCATTACCAAAAATCCTCGAAACAGGAATAAATGTTTTTATAAGTAACTCTCAGATCATAACAATTAAAACATATTATGAAAAAACAACTATATACAAATGTGGCGAAAGATAATCGACGACTATAGGTTGTAATATCTGAATGATTTGTTTGAAATTAAATTGATTTTTTACGGTCTTTAAGTTGTATGTTGCAATTTTCTCAATTTGTATGGACGCTAAGTTATTTGGTATGAGACGTCTTTAACAATTTTCTCCTTATAGACGCTACAGATAGAAGTAAGATTTGTAGCGATCAAAAGAGTTTTTTTATCGCATTAAGCCTATACCCCCTTTCTTTTTTCGCGAACACTCCCTTTAACATTTATTAAATAGGAATCATTACGCAATTTTCACCGTTTCATTTAAATTGTTAGTTGTTTTAAGAAAAGGGTGGGGGCCCATTTTTTAGGAATTAGAAATCCAATATTTTTATCAAACCAAATTGGACTGAACGACATCTTGTTTTCAATCAGAACTCCTTTTAAAGGGAGTGGAAGCGTAATTTCAAGTGATCCTTCATGCAAAGATGGCAATTCCCGAGTCACAACGGTACCCTTGAAACCTTTATCTGGTGAGACAAAGCTTTTAAGGGTACCATTGTGAATCGGACATTGGTATCTGTGCATAGAAGGTCACTTTAAATTACGCTTATATAGTCCCTTTAATAAAGAACAATGTTTTGGTTTTCTACTTAATAGTCTATGACTGGATAAATATGCTTTTTCGCATAAAATTGAAAACTAGAGGATCTATGACGTCACAAAGTCGTACCAGTAAGTAACTTCTTACGCCAATCAGGAATGAACAGCAATCTTTTCAGCAAAAAGGGAGAAATCAATATTGGCCAATTCATTCGGGTTTTTTTCGAAAATCGTCATTTAGTTTTCTACATATCAAACTTTCTTCGTCCAATTCCGAAAATATGCATTTTAATTTTTAAAACATTCAAATGCTGCATGGGTTTTGTTTTTATATAAGCCCATAATCCTTGAAACATTATTGTAATCATTAGAACCTGTCTTAGGCTTAATTTAACCTAATTTTAAATATGGCCTGAATTGTGTTTATGCATACAGCAGTCGGGTTTAATAATAGACCTCATTTTTCTTCAATCCACTTTGTTTTTTTGTTAATTGTTTTATTGAATTTAATCTGCTTTTTCTTGGATTTTTTCCTCTGAAACATTTAATAAAGTTTGATTTGATTTTGTTATATTGAAGTATTAATATTTTTACCCAGCTTTAAAATAAAAGAGCGGCCACTGTTTCAAAATTGATAACAATTTAAATAATGGTTGAATTTACTTAACTCGTATTTATTCTATCCTAAGTACATTCACAATGGACATTCATGGGGGGGGGGAGGTGCAGAATTGTCAGCGTTCGTAACTTTTCAGTCCAATCGAGAATTTTTTTTTAAATTTGCGAGTTAGTAAAAAAAAACACTTGTTATGTTTTTGACACCCTGTAGTCATTTTAGACCGTGTTTCATGACACCCTGTATATATTTGGTCGGGTAGTCCATCATAATATTTAGTTGCAAACCCTGTTGTGTACTTACTCACACTCACTCGATACATCATATACAGTCACACTGTACAGGCATACGTGTCAGTCAACTGTCGGGGGGGGGGGGGGGGGGGGGGGCTATAAACTGGTGGCAGTCAACAATATTTTCACATTATTTCAGGTTTACGAAATATGTTTTGATTTAAAACATATTATTTATTATTTTATGTCTTTCCTAAATATATGTTTCTTATTTTCCATTAATCCAGGCTACTGTCTAATATCTGTCATAATAAAAAATTAGATTTTTTGTGGAAAACGGCGAAATTCCGAGCCCCCTTGCCCAGGTTCGAAGTAAATTTTTGTGTCTTTTTGTGTTTAAAATGTAGTATGTGTGTGTTCGATTTTATTATAGTTTTTACCCTTAGTTCTTTGTGTATAATTTAGCCTAATAATGACGGTGTGTGTCTAATTGAATATCTATTATCTTTCATCTATACTATCTTATAGACATACCAGATTCATCTTTCTGAACATCTATCTATCTATCTTTCATCTATACTATCTTATAGACATACCAGATTCATCTTTCTGAACATCTATATATCTATATGATATTATAGACATACCAGATTCATCTTTTTGAACATCTATCGATCTATCTTTCATCTATACCATCTTATAGACATACCAGATTCATCTTTAAGAACATCTATCTATCTATCTTTCATCTATACTATCTTTTAGACATACCAGATTCATATTTCTGAACATCTGTCCATCTATCTTTTATCTATACTATCTTATAGATATACCAGATTCATATTTCTATACATCTATCTTTCTATCTTTCATCTATACTATCTTATACATAGACATACCAGATTCATCTTTATAAACATTTATTTATCTTTCTATTTATTTATATATTCATCTATCTATCTATTCACCCAACCATCCCTCTTTCTTTTTTGTTTTCACAAATTGAATTTAAGTGACCCCCTACATTTATAGAGTAACATGTCCGATTACCAACGATATCTATACACAGATGTTGTTCTTTTTTTTCTTCTCCATGTGTTGAATTAATTTCAATTTCACTCTTTTCTCCTATTGCAGAAAGGCGCAAGTAATTAAAATTTTTAAAGAGATTTTAACTTTTTTACTCATGTCGTTGTATTAATGTAGGATTACTTAAAGTAACTTTTAAGTCTCTTTAAGTCAGTAAATGTAGGGTTGTATATAATATATTATTATATATTATTGTATATTATTCAATTATCCTTTTTATAACATCAAAGTAAACAATTTATGAAATTGTCGACGATATGTCGCTACAAAAAATAACTGATTATTGATAAATATTAGATAAACTTTTCGGGACCTCTGTGCTTTTATTGTTTGTAATAAAAATGACCTATTCCACATCTATAATTCAACGTTTGGTCATTTCTTGATTCAAATCAGCTCAATTATAATTTATTCATTTCTTTTAATCAAAAACCTATTTTATTATTTATTGCCTTTTAATTATTAATAGCATACCTTTTCAAACAAAGATTTTTAAAAACTTTTTCCAATAATTTGGTCCAATGCTTAGGATTCATTTCATACTGGGAAAAAATGGATCCGGATCCAATTCTGGATGAACAGTTTTTAGATTTACTGATGAGGAATTTTCGAATTATTTTTCTTACTTATTTCACTTATTTTTATGGAACAACTTGATAAACCATTCATAGATGAGGACATTTTTAATAATCTCTTTTTTCCACAGTTCAGACTTTCAGAGTTAAAAGCTAAAATGCCAATACCTGCGCAAGGGTGCGGAGCGCCCTAAAAGCCTATGAATATTAATTGATTTTTTATCCTGATGATTTTTTAGTTTTTAAAATAAACCTTTTTTCAAGAGCATGGGGTTTTAATTTTCACATTTTCTTCACGATTTATATAATTTTGTTGAATTACTGAATACTTTCTTTGTTTTTCTTATAGTTCTCTATTTTATTCCCCTTATAGTTCTCTATTTTATTCCCCTTATAGTTCAATTTTTTACAATTCTGGAATCGGTATAAAGATCTTTCTATTAAATTTTTTTTTGAAAATTCCTCATATTATTTTTTAGTCTATTCACCACTGTCAATGTTTTAATTTTATTTTCCCAATTCTTACATTGTTCTGAAAAATTCTTCAAAATATAATGGGTTCTATAAAAATACTTTTTTTAATTCTGAAGACGAAAAAATTCTTAATTTTTTTATGTCTTGTTTTTGTAGACGGAGTGTTGAGGATGAATATGGAGCTGAGATGTTCAGTAGTGCAGAACAGATGGATAGAAACCCTTCTAGATCTTTATCTATCCTTCATCCATCCTCCAGATCTCCTTCTCATCCAGCCTCCAGGTCACCCTGTCATCCTCCATCCCGGTCTCCCTCACAGTCATCCAGACGCTCGGGCAAATCGTCAATACAAAATACAAGGTAATAAAACTTGATTAAAACCGGTCATGTGATGACAATTTCCGTTTTACATCGGTACCCTTGTTAAAAGCTTTGTCTGTTAGATGATGTATGGTTTGGTCTCTTTAAACTTTTTGTTTCCATTTGCGGGTTATCTGCGAAAGTTATTTGCGCATTTCTTGCTTAAAAATATGTGTAAAAATTATCAGAATTAATCATTAATTAATTAATCAGAAAAAACGACTTAATCTTCCCATTTTTGATCAAATTAAGGTTTCAAGGGTACAGTTGTAAAGACTCCCAAAAAAATCTAAGATGTTACAATCAGTTCAAAATTGTATTCTGTTAAAGTTTTCACTTCAGAAAACCAAAGGACAATAAAATTTCAGGTCGTGTTCGGTCTTGGAAGGTTCATGCTTTATGGGTAGCGCTGAAATTTCGGATAAAATGCAATATTATGTTTTTAACATGTTTTTCTTCATTTCAGAGGGTCTCTAGTATCTCGGTTAGATAAGGAACGAGAACACACTCCCACCACGGAACTCAGACAAACACAGGTAAAGTTCAGGAACGCTTCTTGAGAAAAGTTCAGGAACGGCACACATCTGTTCCAATAATTGAACCACAAAAAAAGTGAGACTATCCAAATTATTTACTCTGATATAAATTATGCATATAATATATATATTTTTTGTTAAGTGAAATATTGCATAAGCAGATTATAAACTGATAAAATCATATAAGATTGAATAACACCATTCTACGAATCTCTATCCACCCATCTCCTAAAAATTTGGCCTGCTTATAAAAGTTGCATCAATTTTTAAGACAAAGTCGTCTTTTAAGAGTCGCAACGACTAGGATGATTATACCGCTCTCACTCTTTTATGCTCTTTTGTAGCCCTGAACAAGTACAATACATTTTAAAACTATAAATTACTTGTTTTTAGCTTTAATTATAAATAAGTAATTGGCAAAATTCTCATAGATTAAATCACAGAGATCTCGCCATATATCTCTATCTTTATATCTTTCTATCTACCTCTCTTCTTTACATCTATCTTTATATCTATCCATCTACCTCTCTTCTTTCCATCTATCTTTATATCTATCTATCTACCTCTATTCTTTCCATCTATCTTTATATCTATCATCTACCTCTCTTCATTCTCTATCTTTATACCTATCTAACTACCTTTCTTCTTTCTATCTTTATATTAATCTATCTACCTTTCTTCTTTCTATCTATCTTTCTATCTATTTATGTATCTTTCTTTCTCTCTATCTTTATATCTATTTATGTATCTCTCTATCTTTATATCTATTTATGTATCTCTCTATCTTTATATCTATTTATGTATCTCTCTATCTTTATATCTATTTATGTATCTCTCTATCTTTATATCTATTTATGTATCTCTCTATCTTTATATCTATTTATGTATCTCTCTATCTTTATATCTATTTATGTATCTCTCTATCTTTATATCTATTTATGTATCTCTCTATCTTTATATCTATTTATGTATCTCTCTATCTTTATATCTATTTATGTATCTCTCTATCTTTATATCTATTTATGTATCTCTCTATCTTTATATCTATTTATGTATCTCTCTATCTTTATATCTATTTATGTATCTCTCTATCTTTATATCTATTTATGTATCTCTCTATCTTTATATCTATTTATGTATCTCTCTATCTTTATATCTATTTATGTATCTCTCTATCTTTATATCTATTTATGTATCTCTCTATCTTTATATCTATTTATGTATCTCTCTATCTTTATATCTATTTATGTATCTCTCTATCTTTATATCTATTTATGTATCTCTCTATCTTTATATTAATTTATGTATCTCTATCTATCTTTATATCTATTTATGTATCTCTATCTATCTATTTATGTTTATAGGATTCGGATTCGGATTCAGCTAGTGGAAGTATCTCCTCTAGTATACGAAGCAGCAGTATATCCCAACGGCGGAGCAGTATACCAGAGCAGCAGCTACTCGCTAGGCTGGCGGAGGATTCTCCGCCGGTCAGTCCGGTTCCCCGCCCAGTGCTTCCGGTCAAAACTGGCGGAGTCCGCCATAGTACAAACTCACTTCCAAGGTTTGAAACTTAATTTTTTTATTCTAAAATTTGTTGGCCTTAGAATCTAAACATTTGTCACTAACTCTAATTTCTACCCTTAAGTCTAAGATATATGAAAGCGTGAGGCAAGTTCTAATTTCTTTTCAACCATTACAGTCACTTAATCTAAACCCTGACAACATAGTCCAAATTTTATTAGTGAATTAATACATTTAGTAATCCTTAAAATCCTATAAAGGGACTACAAGCGTAATTTCAAGTGATCCTCCATTCAAAGATGGCAAGGTCCGACTTACAACAGTACATCTACCACATTTTAGTTCAGATTAAGGTTTCAAGGGGGCCATTATGAATTGGGCATTGCCATCTTAGCATAGAGGATCAGTTTGATTTAAGCTTAAGATAAGAAAAGATAAAGTTTATTGCTAAAATACATGTATCTGTGTACAGAACGAGTTTACAATTACAAATTGATGATTATATTAACAGTACAAGTATAAAGCAATTAGGTGGAAAAAAACTCTTGGCTGTTTTGATTATTTTTTCCACCTAATTTTAATAATGATAACAACACATTTCAAGTAAATAGATTTAAGGAGAACTATTAGGAATTAGGGTGCGATTTTATATTAAACAAAATAGTTTATACATTTATTAGAATAACTAGAGTTTGAAGTAATTTTCTGACATGTACACAACAAATATCAAACCTTCTATGCGAAGATGGCAATGTACTGTTCACAACACGGTATCCTTTACAGCTTTGTCGGATCAAGTATGAGTTAGATATTTATGTTTATCATTTCAAAACCTGATACACTGCAAACTAGCAAGGAGGAGAAGGTCAATTCAATTGACATTACTATTACGACTTTGTGACCCCGTTTCTCGTCTTTGTCTGATTTTACGCAAAAGTGTAAGAAAGGCAAATTTATTCTGTTACATCTTATAAATTCAAAACATTTTTGTTCTTCTCAATAGCTCTGAACTAAAAGGATTTATGATAAAAAAGCATATACATTATACAATTCATATGTTATGTGCATTTTACTTTAGATTGACGTGGATACTTTTAATTTTTGGTTTCTCTATAAAAGTGACTTGCGCATTTCTAGTGCAGGAAAACATTTAGGAAGTATCAGGGAAAGTTTTTAAGGATAACGTTGTGAATCGGACATTTCCATCTTTGTGTTAAGACTAAAATTACACTTGAAGTGCCTTTATTGTTTCTTTTTGTGATAACAATCCTAACAAAATACTTCTTGTTTGTTTTTATCATATCCTGGTCAGTTTTTATCCAAACCCACTGCATTAATCTAATTGGAGTTGAAATCACCATTCATCTGCTTTCTAGAATTATAAAGGATTGGAAGGAAATTGGGGTTAGTGGGGAGCCGGGAGATTTAAAGGGCTCAAGCTCTCAAGAAAAAATCGATTTTGCCAATTACTTCATAATAACCATAGCTAACAACAGTGCTTAATAGTGATAAAATGTAATGGGCTACAGTATAGAATAAGCCAGTAAGAGCGGTAAAATCAAAGGAAGCCGACCCTGCCTTAATATTATGCTAAAAATTCAGTTTATTTGTTAGGATTCTTGAAGGATAAATAAATATTTTCTAGAAAATTTCATCTTTAAAGTATGACGTTTGCTTCACAGGTTTTCTCCGTTCGTTTCTATTCCAAACGATCTTTTTTGTCAAGAGAAGCAAGTTTATTATAATTTAATTTCTATAAATACTAACAAGAGGATGAAATGCATACTAATATAGAAACTATAGATGCTGCAGGAAATGAATAATAATTCTGGTAATAAGTTGAAAGCAAATGTTAATGTACGGAGGGGTGAGGTGGTGGATAAATACTTTTACTTAACTTACCAGGGCGTAGTCAGTAATTTGTCCAGGGGGGGGGGTTAACTTTTTTTCATACCAGGGGGGCTCAGCAACCATTGGGCGCTAAAAACCCTTAAATCCATAAATTTCACTGATCCAGGGGGGGGGGTATGAGCCACCATAACCCCCCCTGACTACGCCTCTGAAACCGACTAAAAGATTTTAAACTAAGTTCGTATTTTGTTGAAAATTGATTTAACATAATTTTAAAAACGATTTTTACTTCAGATTGGGAACCAGCTCAATTCAGAAGAATAAATCTACCAACAGTTTAGCAAGCTCAAACCCTAGTCAACCTACTAATATTCAAACATCTATCCAAGGTATAATATATCTAAACATTTACTCAAGATATATATTTTTAATCTTTTCTGCAGACAAATTTTTAAGTTATTATTGTATTTTTTGTTATTATTAAAACTATTGAAAAATAATAAGAATAATTGAATCATGTCACGACATCACATTGTTGTTACTTGGTATTACACAAATTGTCAAGCTAATTAATTATTCACATTGTTTTGGTTTTCTGTAAGTATTTGATCGTACTTTTATTTACCAAATTTGTATTGTTTTTTCAAGTGTTAAGTTTAAGCGTTTTACAAACATAAGACAAGCAAAACATGTTTTTTAAAAACATTCTTAAAAGCTTATGTTTTTATTTTCAGACAGATAGAAATATCACATTTTATACAAAACACAGAGGGGGGAAGGGGGAGTTAAAATGAAAATTAAACATATTTCATATTTTTCATACTTTTAATCCTGTAATTTATTAATTTTCATAAAAATCAGTTTTCCTCAAATTCAGCGAATTAAAAATAAATGTTTAGCCCCGCGCAACCATATCTTATCTTCTGGAGAAAAGAAGTGATTTTCAGATTTTCGGCATATATATTTTTTACTTACACCAATTTTAGTAAAAGTTTAAACTTCCTATCTGTATAATCTCTGGTGGCAATCCTTTCTGAACAATCATCGGTTCCCGGCAGGATACTGGGAGGGGTTATAATTAAACAAATATCGTCAAACAAGCCTCTAGTCTTTACAGATCAGATTTATAATTAACTTCCTAATACTGCCTGTCTTACTTAGCTAGTTAAGCCCCGTAAATAATTATTTCTGAATTGTGAGATTTTTTTTTGAAAAAAAAATACTTATTTTGTAGCGTTCTTCAAAACTTAAGGACTGAGAATGTCAAACTTTTGTTTTGTTTTAGTGACCTTTCAATTATAGAGGAACAAGTCCGATTCAAAACTGTTTAATCTGTTATCTGATCAATAAAGGAGAAAATATCGTCGTTTTTCTTGCTTTAAAAGCGTTTTTTTCTAATAATATCTTCTGTTGTTACCGCAAAAAATAAATATTAAGGAAAACACCAATTAAAATAATCAATTTTTTAAGAGTTAATGCAGTCTTTGATTAGACAACGCTTTTAAAGGGACCGTTGTGAATCTGGCAAACCAATCAATAAATGGAGAGTCACGACCCCAGTCCCTTTAATAAAAACATTTTTCCATCAACAATTCACAACTTTCCCCTTTTATCCTTTGATTAACACACAATATGGGACTTTCTTAGTTGTTAAATCTGAAAAGTAAGAAAATGAAACTTTATGTTAAAGAGCCAATTTAATTTCGCGTACAGTCCCTTAGAACGTGATCAATTTGTAATACATTCTTCGAGCATAGGCTTAGAGTTAAAATAAAAGATTTGGGTTGACAAAGTTACTGTATAATGTATCTAAAGTTACTGTATATGCCAAGAATTTCCAAGGATTAAGTTTATTCTATTAAGGTTGCCCTGAGTACTTAAACTCCATGGTTTCTATTCAAATAATATATATTCTAGAGTTTGGAGCCTCTAGAAAACATTATTATATATTTTAATCTAATTATAATAATACAGCCTAGGGAAAACATTATTATATATTTTAATCTAACTATAATAATACAGCCTAGGGAAAACATTATTATATATTTTAATCTAATTTCTGTTTCAACATTTAACTTTAAAAAAATTGAGCCAGAAAATTTGTAAGAATAATCTTTTTGTGAAGAAAAAATTTACTTTGTTCATATTTTCTAGAAAAGCTCAAAGTTCATGTATTTTTCTATACAGAACAAAGTTTTCTCCAAGCTGAGAGAAAATGAAATTGACTTTTTCTTTCAAGTTTCAAGATGCAAATATAATATATCTTAAATGTATGTGACGGGTCTTCTTCCATTTGACAAATAGTGAAAACAGTTTTTAAACATTTTTGCAGGTTAATTTATTCCTTTATAAAAAGCTGGTTTTTTGGTAAAAAACAATTTTCATTTAATCCCGCCCCTTTTAAAAATAATAAATAATAAAAACAATTTATTATTTTTTACAAAGGAATGTCATTTACTCTGAGACAAATTAGAATCAATGGAAATTTAAACCCACTAGGGATACAATGATAACCCCAAGGGCTATTAGTAATTTGTCTGAGAGTAAATGATGCATGTTAAGTGTGATTCACGGAAATCACCAGTTTTCTTTTTGATTTTAGAACTTCAACTTAACATTTCTATAAAGTTCTCAAGCAACCATGCCGTATTTGATCGTAATAACAGGTTTATGGTGTAAGCTGAATATTGCTGACTCCCCCCTGAACCCCCCCCCCCTCTTATTATTAAAGTATTACAAGTTATTTCTGTCAATTAGCATCACTTCCATAGTTAAATATAATAAGATGTAGTAGGGTCTTAGAATAAACGTTAGTAAAATAAATTTCTATTCCTTTAAGCGGCGAATAAGACTGACCAAGAATATTACGAAAAAGCGGCGGATAAAACCGCCCAACAATTTAACTGCCTTGAAGCGGTGAATTCAACTGCCCCCCCCCCAAAAAAAAATGGCGGATTTAATTGTTGGTTTATTAAGGCGGAGTACGATCAGCCCGGTATAGGCCTCATGGATACAAACCGCCTCCGCCACGTAAAGTATCGACGGGAAGTATCGGCGGTTCTTCTAGGAAATCATCCATTGATTCCCTTGGACGCCTTACAGGTTGGATTATTATTGTTATTGTTATTGTTATTGTTATTGTTATTGTTATTGTTATTGTTATTGGTATTGTTATTGTTACTGTTACTGTTACTGTTATTGTTTTTGTTTTTGTTTTTGTTTTTGTTTTTGTTTTTGTTTTTGTTATTNTCATTGTTTCTGTTTCTGTTTCTGTTTCTGTTTCTGTTTCTGTTTCTGTTTTTGTTTTTGTTTTTGTTTTTGTTTTTGTTATTGTCATTGTCATTGTCATTGTCATTGTCATTGTCATTGTTATTGTCATTATTATTATGATATAATTATTGTTATTGTTATTGTTAATGTTATTGATATTATTTCTAATTATTTTATTAGTAACCTTTACTAACGATCTACTGGTAAGACGTAACTGTAATTTGTTAAGTAGCCTATAGAGTGTAGACTTAGTGTAATTTATACATACTTAGTTTTAGTTTTATTTACGATTAAGAATCAACTGCTATTAATCTAAGTATTATTAATAATATTAATGAAAGAAGTTGGTATATTTATCCACAGTAATACAGTGTATTTACTGAATACAATAATTATGTTTGACAATGGTTTTTTTGTTTGTTTCATTATTAATTCATTCAGTTATCCACCAATCGATAGATCTACACTACGTTATAGTTAGGGAACCCTTTGTTTGTAATAAAACTGTGCCCTATTCACAATGTACCCTTCAAATAAAAATTTGGATATCTCATTCATTTTTGATTAAATCAAATCTTTTAAGGGTAACATAGAGAATCTGATATGCCTCTTTGTTTACATACATTCATTCCCTTGAATTAAAAGTAAACAGACATTCTGTGTTTGTTAACAATAAATAAGGTGTACAAATACAGTCCTTAAATTACGTATACCTCATTACAACAAAAAGTTTCTCGTCTGAATGTGAATATTTTAGATTTAGTTTTATCTCTTGTTCTAGATCAGTAAAAAATCGTGCAAGATACCTTTAAACGTAAATATTAAGAGTGAAAAGCCCAATAAAAAAGCATAAAATAGCAAATGCGAAAACTCTGCAACTTGAATGAAATGAATAAAAAATGGGTGTTAAGTTAAAAAATATAGACAAGGATCTCTGGTTTACCATGCAATCCTTACCTCTAATATCCTTACATCCATCAACCCTTCAATGTAAGTACCCTGCACCCAAATATGAGTTGGTTTCAATTCAAACAGTTGAGAAGGAAGTTGGTATTTGCAGATTAAAAAGGGAGTTGTCTTATTTACGGCTTGTTCTTTTATATTCTATTCAATTTCAATCTTTTCAACTCTGTTATATCCTGTTGTCTTTATCAAATCATCTCAGGCAAATTATTAAAATAAAGTTGAGTTATAATATTCTTTATTGTTTTCATCATATAAAAAAAGACATCATGTGTTTTTGTTTGAGGTACGGATAGGTGAAGAGGGTTGTTTTCAGGAAATTTTTTATTTTTTTCATTTGAAATATTGTAAATATGTCAGTTTACCCGTATATTCTAAGCCCTGATACGTCTGAAGTAGTATTATTGGTTTAAAAGCAGTAAACCTAGTGATATAAAACATTATCTGTAAACAGTTCAGAAATATTTTACATTCGTTTTACAGGGAGATAGAATAATAACTATCTGTTCTTTCTAGGGTTGGGAATCGCTGAAGAGAAGGTCTAAAATGTTTCATATTTTCATATTTGAAACATATGAATATTTTCATATTTGAAACATATGAAAACGGACACTTAGTGTCTCCCCATCATATTTATTTTCATTCTTTTTTTTAAAATTAATTAGGAAAAAATTTATTAATTTAAAAGAGAATATCCATAATATCCATATTATGACATAAAGCTTAAAGGATTAAAAGGATGTTAGTAGTTTATAGTCGGTTTCTCAGCTACTTGAACATAGATTTTCTTCTCTTTTTATCTGAGACATAAAATTTCAAGAAGATAAAAATAAGTTTAACATTAAATCAACTAAAATTTCCCCCAACCAATCCCTTCCACCCACCATAAAACCTGTACCATACACTCAGTACTTTGTACCACACTACCCCCTCCCTGATACAGCCTCCTGTAAACCTCCATGAGTATTCAGTTTAAACTCAGCCCTAGAACCAGGCCTA